AAAAAATACATCAGAATTATTTTTCTCAGCTTCATAATTTCCAGATATAATAAATAAATGGGGCATACGAAGTTCATTCTTGAAGAATATTTTGTAGGATTCAGTTTTCGGAAATTCATCCGAATGACACTTTTGAGTCTGACATTTCTCTCAACAATCGGTTGGAAACTTTCGGTCTCCCGTTTCATTCACTACAGATAGAGATAGAAGAATAATACCAAAATTCGATTTTTTGAATTTTAACTTTGGGAGTTTTGAAAATTTGACAGTTTTTAGTCCTAGCGTCATGATTTAAATTATGCATATCTATTTGAATAATATGACACCAATTACTGTTAGTAAGTATTCAATTTACTTATTAAGTCTTATAGTATATTACTATGAATGAAAATGTTTCATTATATTGCAACGAAATAGTGACTTCGCATTACTCAAGAGAAGATGCATGTCTGTATCTAAGTTTTTGAAACTTGAATTTTCGAAGTTCCGATTGAAAGGCTCGCAAAGTTAAGTAGAGGACTTTATAACTATAATTAATATCATCATTCAAATAGAGAAGCAACTTCAAAAGTTTTGGGTTTGAATTTAGTACCATAATACGCCTAAGGTAACCCGACTCAAAATGGGCCGTCACATTTGAATACTTTTCACCGTTTGTCAATCTAAGTTCTAGTTCGGATAGAGATCTATACGTGTTCCTAGGTAAGTGATACAAGAAACAGTCTACTCACCGATAATAACACCAGGAGAACTATTTTGATAGTTATTATTGCCATTGGGATCAGATTGAACGTTACAAAGCTCTACAGATATGGTGCTTCCGTCGTCCGCTGTGATATTGATATTGGTCACATTATTGAGCTTTTCATGAATGCCGGTAAACAGATCGATTTGGCAGGGCAGCGTTTGACATGGTAGATCTTGTGGATAGTTCAATACGATGTAGAAGACGATAGCAACACCTGAACGGTCCGTCTTGTCGCATTGAATGCTATATGTAAAGTTATAGGTAATGGTAACTTGCAGAAATAAAATAAAAACAAGTTACTCGCGACGGCGACGTCGACCTTTGGTACTGGTTGCTTTTGCACTGTTGATGGTCGTAACAGCAATGGAAGTTTTAGGAGCACTGATTGCTTGTTGCAGCTAAAATATACAACACATTATGAACTAACATAAAAGACAAAACTTACGCAAGCGGCTGTTGTTTGACGGTTGGTGACAGATTGTGTGGCACGCTTTTTTACTAATCCAGGTGGCAACATGTATGAGACAGTTAATGTGGTCAGCGATTGTTCTAATAAAGATTACATATGTGTATATAATAAAAATGATAAATAAATACTAACTAGTAATCGCCGTTTTGTTGCCAACTTTAAAAAATGGTGCCGATAGATACGCCGGAATGAGGGAAATACAAATTGTGCATATAATAACCACAAATAACAGGACGAAATGATGACATTTGGATGATCTAAATAAGTGGTAACAGAGAACAAAATTCATTAGAAACACTCACAACTTACCTATCAGAACGTCGTAATTTCACATGAGCCATATTTTCTAATTCGTTGAAAGATTGCTGCCTTGAAATCAAGAAAAATCTGAAATGAGTTTCAATATGAAATTTGAGTGACGAAGAAAAGTTAGTTCGTGATTTGGAGTTTACAAGTTTCTAGTTATTAACAAAATTCTAGTTCACATCTATCATTGCCCTTCTTTGAGCTATACCAAGTCAATTAATGATGCCTAAGAAAAGCAAGTAAACAGTTACGAGTTGCGATTTGCTGAACACCTAACATTTCTAAATTTCATATGTTGAGAATATTCTTTCCAAATAAATCAAGTTAGTATACCAAAACTATAAATATGATATAATGAATGTATCATTTTATTAAAAATAATACAAAAGAAATGCTTCTTGGTTAAGATTAAAACTTATCCAGACAATATCAATGATATTTTCCTATTTGTCCACAATAAGTTCTAGAATCTTTGATATAGCTCTTCTTCGAACCCATTTATGAGCATTAATCAATAAGAAACAGTGAATTACAACATTTTTCCTTTTACCGAAGAAATTTGTTCTTTAACTATGATGAAATATATACAAACGCTTCGTCGTGTTTGATCGGATATGTTACCGAACAAGAATGTTTAGTACATTTTGCTTATCGTTGAATTCAATGTTTCTACTTATTCCTACTATAACTGTTATAGAGACACAACTCAGCTGAAAATCTATAGTAGTTTCTGGATTATTTCTATAAGTAATATATGACGCATAAAGTATTACAGTGTGGGTGTTTTGAGATGTTAACCTCTTTTCAAATTTATTCACATAAAGATGTGAAGTAATGACATTCAAATGGTTGTAGACAACTAGTGCAAACGTTGCCATAAATTGGCACATATTTTTTGTAACTACAGTAGAGTTTTTACGATCAACAATCCACTTGCAGATACTAACGTTGAAAAAATTGAACCTATCGAGTTGACCCAGACTCGATGGTAGCAACAACGGGGAGCTCCGTTTTATTGAGAACCCCGTTACATAGGGTACAGTATCTAACTGAATGTCCAATCAAGCTCGACCCTAGTAAGAATGGTGGTACCAGTTCATTTTAGTAGCTACTCGCATAGCGAATGGAATCCGACTAAATAATCAGGTATGATAGTATGCGATATGTTTTGTGTTTCTTGTATAGGCTTTGTCTATTAGTTTGTAGGATAGGGTGAGGATGAACTAGGAATTCTATAAACCTTGCTTCGCTTTTATTACAATTAAAATGTTTCAGATACTGTCGTCAGATAAAGCTGTTGATTTAGAAAAATCTCAATAGCTATACATATAATTATAGTACTTGTAAATAGAGCAACAATTCTCAATATGAATGATATCATTTGAATGATATAAACTAAATATAAAAAGTATAGAAGTATTTACCGTGAAATTATATTCAAACACGATCAAATTCGAAGCAGAATAATCGAGTATACGAGTTCTAAATTTAAATGAAAGCCAATGACTAAACGAATATGTAATGAGCATACGCTTTTATATTCTCCTTGTTATACGCTTCAGTCATGCATAAACGATTGTTTTTATTTTTTCAGCTTGTATTTTATCTCATTAAAAATAACAAGCAAGCAATTAAGCAGATATGACAATAAATATTTTTATTTTTATTCATGTATGTAACGCTAATTGCTTATAATTATTTTAGATAGAAAAAATAAATGTGAGTAATAGACAATTTATTTTACAGGAGGAATAAAATATAATTGATCAATTATCTTACAGAAATAAAATATAATTGAATATTTGACTTAGCTGAATAAAATATAATCGATCATTTGTCTAACATAAATAAAATATACGTAGGTAGTCATATTCGATGGCTTGTAATTGGGGGCTGTTTTTTCTCATTTTATTTATAATTATTGTGTGTTATAATTATAAGAGTTCTCATAAATATTTATTCGTTAACCCTTTAAGTACCATAGCTCAGCCAATGGATGAAACTTTGTTAGGACTTTATTTCTAACATGTATATTGTATGTTGTGAATATTTTCATTGAAAATTTTTAAAAAACTTTCGAAGTCATTTTCGATCAATACCCGTACCCCCTTACGGCACGGTGGTACTTGAAGGATTATTAAAATGATAAATACCGCGCGAATACAAGCACCTACATGTCCCCTATGCCACAATGACAAGTGCACTTCGATATTGTTTCGCATTCGCAATTTATTCAGAATTTGTCAAATTTTAAAGAGTGGGGCTTATAGGCCCCGTTGGTACTTAAAGGGTTAACAGACAAAAATGAATATCTTAGAAGTATTTCCCTATTAGCAGAAAGGAAGAGTTGTTTCATATGACACTTTTAAGAGTTAGATTGTCCAGATTCAGAAATTGTTATGTATAAAATACAGACTGATCGGTGAAGTTTTTGTCTTGATTCAGGTCTGTGTTAGGTAGGCCGTTTGTTGAACTTCAGAAGAGAGTATACGAGCCAAAAATGACTCGTTTTTAGAAGAGTATGGACATGATTTTGTGGTCAGTTTAAGATACCACTCGAGAAATAATTGAAGCCTGAATAAAACTAAATAGGTAGTTTCGAATTAAAATTAAACATTGATTATACAAGATTTATCAGACTTTTATACTGCCCGATAAAAAGTTTTCTTGGTTAAAATTAATCGAAATTACAAAATCCTCTAGACACTAATCCAAATTTGGCACTGGACATCAGAAAATTTGAAAAAATATCTGAGCAGGATACTGTTTTGGTGAAATTGTTGAAACCGATCGTTTCTTTTACGTACTTTTTGACTTAGGCATGTAACGAAAGTAGGGCTACAGTTGATTGAAATCACAAATTCTCAATGAATGTTAACGGATCAGAAATTTGTGATTCTAATCACTTACAATTCTGACTTTATTTCATAGTAATTAGATCGACAGTTTTGATTATGATTGATTATATATTAATTGTAATTGATCTGGGAGATCTGTTTAGTTGACTTAAGTTTTGATTTCATTACACATTCTTCTGAATATAGTGTATTTGTGATATATAGTCATTTTCATGTTATAAACAGACAAAAGATGCTAGTTTAAAGCAGAATATATCCATAAATTTTATCTTCTAACGTCGGAATGCATCTCTCTCGTTCAATCTAATTTGAGAAACTAACCTATCAAGTGTTGACAATTTCTTCTGCCACATCCGCTTTTCTATATCACCTCTCGAATGTCATGAATTTACTATCATCTGTAGATTAGTTCAATCTGAACTCTTTCAATTTTCTTTCCCTTTTTTTACACTCAAAATAGTGTGCAACAAATCATAAACAAAATAAAACTAATTTGTACTTAAACTAAGTTGAGTTGATTAGAGAAATGACAGATCATAAACGGGTGTGTTTATCTGAACTTGTATAATTTCAATCACTACTAAAGACACATTTAACCCTTTGGTTACGGGATTTTTTTAGGTGAATCTTTTTTTCTCGTTCTAAGACAGTCTGAAATAACTTTTATTAATATATAGAAGCATTTAAAAATGAATGTAGGTGTATCTTATTTATCTCACCTACACCGTCAAAGAAAGGAGCCTTTTCAATCGAGCCTAAATGATATTGTCATGACAGTAATATCTCTAGAAGTTCAAACACCATATATGGTTGATCCGTAACCAAAGGGTTAATGGGAAATTTTTTACTATTTTTCATTAAGATATTTGGCAAAAATACTCACCGCATCTTATTTGTGACTTTTTCTCATATTTGTATCTTTAATACTGAGAGAAGATTGAGAATCAATCATGTATAGCATACAAGCAAATAAACGAAATAACTAATACTAACACTTCAGCTTAATAATAATAAATCCTCACTCAACTCACGATTAGTTTGTTATGTGATAAGAATGTGTTCCTTCAATATTTTGGTATTTGGTGAGGAGGATGAAGGTGTTTTTTTATACAATAGAGGTTTTGCAGAAGTAAGATGAGGTTCTTTATAACAATATTAAAACTTTGAATAGTTTTTTTAGTGGGACTGGACCAAAAAAGATTTTGGATGATGGTAGCAGAGCTATGAAGGTCGTTTGGGGGTAACAGCGAACGATAAAAGATTGCTTGTGATATCAGTAAAACCCTGCAACGTGTATTCCTTTGATATTGAATCAGAAATGTTTTCTTCAATGACGCTAAACCGTAAACGTGTGGTATGAGTTAGTGTGCGATACTGTTGAATCAAATATAACTGTTCTAGCTTTGCAGAATTTCTCAAGACTTTGTAGTTGAATAGCTGAATTATCAAGAATCGATGTAGTGCAAAATAAAGTTTAGTACGAAACTATCTTGTAACTACGATAAGTCCTTTATCGAAGTGGTTTGTATGTATTTAATAGTACTATTGTATGGTCCGATTTTAACACTAGATATGACTGTATTTCTCTGTATTGAAAGATGACCCGCTTGTGATTGCTTTGCTTCTTCAGGCAAGTTTAGTTGTTTGTCGATGACTAATAGTTAAATAAGAATTAGAAGTTTTTAATATTACATTCATCAAACATGAAAAGGTAATGCTATGAAGAATATATTACTGCCATGCAGCCGGCTCTAGTTTCGTCCTGATTCATAGATTATCGAAATAGAAAAGTTAGTTTCAAATCTCTTTTTTATTAAAACTAAAAATTGAACTTGTGCTACAATAGAAAAAAAGCTGACCCTGCGCTTGTCTACTTAAAAACTAGTTTCTTTCTATCGCATAATCCTTATTTATTTATTTACTTAATAAATGTAACATTATATAGCAAACATGATTCTTTAAATTGTTTTAAATTATGTATGATGACATAAGATTTGTTTGATTGATTAGAATCAATGTCATATAAAATTTTTAAAGATTTCCTATATTGATTTTGATCTTTATCATTATTAATTTCGATTGATTCAAATGATTTTAAAATATATTCTATTTTCATCATATCATTTGGATAATGAAATAATTTATTAAAATGAAATATTTCACTTTTTATTGTACGTAAATTATGATTGTATTTATGTTTTGTTGTTAAACAATGTAATTTTGATTCAGATTTTGATTGTAATAAAGATATATGTTCATAATCTGTTTCATCAGATGAATCTTGATGATGTCGAAATCGTGGAAGACGTTCAGCTGACATACCAAAACTTGATCGAATACTATATCGATTTCGTTGATTTTCAGATGTTGAATTATTTGAAATAATACCTGTTTTTGTTGGTTTTATTTCATCATTCGGACATATAATAATAATTAATTGACGATGTGCAGATGCTATTATATGTTTATCATACCATTCTTGCATATCATTTATCGTTAAAGTATCAAGTGCATCTCTCTAAATCAATAAATAAATGTTTTTTTAAAAAATATGTGATTGATTTTAATCCAATTTACTTCTTGATTATTTCGATCGAATATAAATGAATTCAATAAAATTTCAGTCCAATATCGATCAACACATACTTGTAATGAATTATCTATATTTTGTTTTACTAAATTAAAAAAATAAATAGAAGAATAAGATTAAATATGAATATACCATTTCGAAACATGGTTACAAATCGTTCGAATTCTATTTTCGTTGTTTCCATAATAATATCTTTAAAAATTACAAAAAATTTTGATATATAATCAATAACATCCTAATTAAATAAAAACTGATTAAAATCAATGAATATATATAATACCATTGAATTATAAATCTCTGATGAAAATATTCTATAGCAAAAACAAAAATATTTCAAATAAAAATTCCTATCAAATAAATCTTACAATTCAATTTCAAGTGAAACAATACCATAGGTATCACGAAGCGTAACTAAATATATTAGAATAGAAAAATCAAAAAACAAGAATTTTATATTTAACATACTATTACATGTAAAATGATTTTGATCAACTGTATGTAGATAATCTTCAAGTGATTCTTGCATAGTTTCAGCAAGAATCTCTAAGAGAACATAATCTCTTATTGTAGTAACACCATGTTCAAAAAAGATTAATATATGAGTAGCACAATCAATAGATTGATAACTTTCAATTTTAACAAGATTTTCTTGAGTTGGTATTTGTATTGCTCGAAGCTTTAATTAAAATTTACTTTCATTAGTTTTAATACATAAAAATAGCTACCGAAGGTAGTAAAATATTTGATACAGAATCTAATTCAAGTAGATTTTGAGTTGTATAAAATAGTTGTTTAGATTCCTAAAATGAAATATAACACATCAGAGTATATTCAATGGATATACTAAACATTTCAAACATACTTAAAGTATGATTTTTCCTTCATTTACATATACCTAACTGAAATTTTCTAAAATAATCTGTATTCCATGGATGTTGTAAGCCGATATAATCGGGTAAAGTTTTAAAACTATACGTATACAAAAATAATAATCGATATTATTGTGTAAGGTGATTACCTGCGTTTCATTAAACAAAATAATCGTTCTATACGCTGTTGCATTATTCGAAATGATTCTTAGAAAAATTATTTTACAAATTAATATAAATTTCTTTTGATTTATTTACCATTTGAAATCATAACAAGATTCATTCCTTCTGGAATACAATATCGATCTTTAACAAATTGTTTTAATACTGTAGTACTATTCGTATTTTCAATTAATTCTTTTAGACTTAATTTATTTCCTATTCAATATTAAATAAAAAATATTTCAAATTAGAAATAAATCTAGAAAAACTCTGATACCCCAAGAAAATTGTTTTATTGGATGATTTTCTCTAGCTAAATATGTAAGTAAACGTGTTGCTCGATAATGATCATCTATTTGAGCAATCATATTTTCTTCATCAATAATTTGTATTTGATCATGTATTGTTTCCAATGACATAAGAGGATCAATAAGTGAATGTATAAGAATATCAAGTGTTTCAACAATACGATTCGATGAAATTTCAATAACAATAACTGTCTATTAATAAAATATAAGAAAATAAATTCGTCGATAATGTTAATTATTACTGACAAATTCAAGTTCTGTATATGCATGAATTTTTCCACCATGATAAGAAATAAATGTATCAAGACAATTATGTTCAGGATATTTAGATGAACTAGAAAAGAGTACTAAAAAAAGAAGGGATAAGATCTTATAATGTAGATAAATTGTAATATACAATGTTCAGTTAAATGTGCAAGACCTTGTAAATTTGAAGGATCCAGAAGAGAACCAGCTGGAATATACAAAGCAACAGTTGTCTAAAATGATGAAAATATATATTGAAGAAAATTAATCATTTGTATATCAACTGTATGATATTGTAAAAATGCTTCATCCGCATCAGAAGATGTTAGTTTATCACTATTATAATATATAAATTTTTATTTTAAAAATAAAAACTATTTTTTTCTTATTCACTCAGTATTGACTGAATCACTTTTCTCATCATCATTTTCTTCATCATCTTCATATAGATTATTTGTTACTAGCATACAACGTAGACCATTACGTAATTCAATTAATCTATATTATAGACATATGTTATTTCTAACAATTATCAATGAATCATGACTTACCGATACCATCGATGATCATTTGGGCTAACAGCAATGATTTTATGTTCTTCTATCTTAGTTTCATGTATTTTTTTATCAGTACTCGTTAAATATTCTGTAATAAGTACATGTTCATGATCACCGTTTGTTTCTTTTTCGTTAGCTAATGATAACGATGATTTTATAACCATCTGATTTTCAAATATATTAAATGATTACAATATGGTTCTTTATTGTAGCGCTAAAATGACGAATGAAAAAAAAGAAGCTAAATAGATCAGCTGTTCACAATCTCAGATATTTACTACAATTAGAGATTCTCTCATTTGTTAAAACAAAATATCTGATCATTTATATTAATCAAGTAAATATGGATTAATATACATTCGTCGAAGTCTTGAATATAATCCAATATGATGAACTAAATTAGGTTCAACAAGAAACGTTTGAAGATTTGTACGTGCTGGTAAATCATCCAATGCTGTATCAATTGCATATTTACTATGACATTGAGTACGATTTAAATAATCAATAACTTGTTTAGAAGTTTGTTGAAAATAAAGTACACCAGGTAAACAACATGATGGTGCCGGATAAATAGAATAAAAAGATGGATGTAATGAACGCCATGTCCATGAAACATTTGAATGATCAATTAGAATAAGAACCAAAATAATAAGAATAAAATAGAATATAAAATACACTAGATTTAAATTGATTAATTTAGAAAGAAAGATATTATTGTTTAATAATGATCGGAAGTATTTTTCCCGTTCTCGTTCTTGTTGTTTTATATTTGTGTTTTTCTTAAAATAAGAAAAATGAATAATAAATTGATATAAATAAAAACCGACGAATGTAAGTAAGAAACTTGTTGAAATTAATTGAGTAATCAAATAAATTGATGGATATATATAAGAAATTAACCATCGTGGATGATAGATTTTAATAAAAGCTGGTTGTTGTCTATGACCATTTAATGGCCATCGTTGTTTAATACGATTATCAATTAATGATAATAATTGATAATAAAAATTTTTACTAATGGGTTCAGCATCATCTTGTAATAACAAAAGATAATTAATAGATGGAAATGATTGAAAATTTGCTAAAAGACATTGTAAATGTGCTTCTTTTTCACGTTCATATGTATTTATTATTGTTTGAGATTTTGTATTTACAATAAAAACAGGTAGAATTTGTCGTATAAGATTAATACCATCGGATACTTGTTCATTTGTATTATTATTTTCACATAATGTTATTATAAAACGTGAATGATAATTTTTAAGTAAATGATAAAGCATTTGACCAATATAAAATTTACCTTCACGATGATCAGTATCTTGTTGACCATATAATATTGATATTACAATATGATCAGTTGTATTTAATAATATTTGTTTCGGTTTATTAAGTAATGTATATGATGATGATGAGAGATTATTTTTCATTTGAATATAATCATAAAAATGTATTTGTTGTGTATAATTTGAAATAAGATGTGGATAATTTTTTGGATTTTTTAATAAATTATCAAGCCATTCATAAGCTATTTGTTGTTGTTGTTTATGTTGCTGTAGTACATTATTACGAACAGATTCAATAGATGAAGGTTCAAATACAATATTTTTGAAATTAAATAATAAACTATATGGTTGATAATAGGAAATTAAACTAGCAATAAAAATAATTATAAAAAACAAACAAATATGTAGACGTTCATGATAACTTAATATACGTAAGGATATCATAGATGGAAATCGATGTTTTTTTAAACGAATGGCATACATTATGAAATAGAAATATTATAAATATATATACAAATGTATTTGTTTTGTCATTAGTTTTTTTTCTCTGTCCTGTACATAAAAGACAAGAGAATGAATCGATTCATATGAATATTTCATATACTATCATTGAGGTCTTGTACCTTTTTTTTTCATGTTTCATTGCACGTTTCATTTTCACAATATGTCTCATCTATAATGACGATAGGAGTGAGTGTTAGACATAGAAAAAGAAAGAAAAAAAAAAGTGTATATTTCGTATGCTCGTGTCAAGGTATTTCATATACATGTATAGTCATTTTTTTTGTATCTGTATATATTGTAAGTTGAGTTTTATTCTATCGAGAATACCTTTCACTTATATTCATCAATAGAGGGTAATTCATGTTAATAACTTATTAAATAGTTTGTATAAGATATTTGATTGACGATTTCAATATAGTAAAAAAAAAGAAGAGATTTTTCAGTATATATATTCATTCTCTAAACTTCATACTTAAAAGCATGTAATGCTTTCAAATCACTACATTTGAATGATCTTGAAAAGTGAATAAAAAAACAAAAAACATTTTCATCTGTAATTAAAAATACAAAGAAAACGAAAAAAAAAAGAAACTTTTTATATACATAAATTTTTCATTACGAAATAGTATTCACCGTAATTGACAAACAAAATATTTTTCTCTAAACAATAACGAAATACACTGAGCAAGAACGAAACAAAAAAAACAAACTTTATTCACAATTAATAATTAATCATATGTTTCTTCTTCTTCATCATTATCATCAACAGTAATACCATTTTCACATGTATTTCGAATAGATTTTTTTGATAATAATGATAAATGATTTGATTTTATCCTTGAAAATATATATTCACTAAATTGTGTCATTGTATCAATACTTGTACCACATGTTGAGGCAACAATAAGAAATTGTGAATTAAATAAACGTTGAAAAATTTCTAATTGTGTTAAATTTATAAAAGCATCTAATGTAAAACGTATAAATTGATTTCTTTCAACATGTGCATGTAATGTTGTTGTTTGTTGTTGTTGTTGTTCTTGAATTTCTGGAAATAGATCATGTATAAGTGTTATATTTCCACTAATTAATACACGATCTTGATTTATATTTAATGATAGTACATCATTATTATTTGATACTTGTTGTTTATTATTATTATTATTATTATTAGTTGTTGTAGTAGTAGTAGTATTCTTTAGTGTAAAATAATCCATATTTGTTGATGATTTACGATGATTTAATCGTTCTTCAATAGCATTAATTAATGGTGTTAATTCAAAATATCGAGCTTCTTCAAGTAAAGCTGGTAGTTCAGTAAAATAATCTGGTAATGCTAGTGTACCATAACGCATAAAATTTAATATATATCGAAAAAGTTTACCATCACGATCAATAAAATAATGTTGTTTAAGTGTATCTAATACAATTGGTATTGTACCATTGAATAATTTTGATAAACGACTATCAGGATAACGTGTTAATGTTTCTAATGATGATGTAAATATTGTACCACCAACATCAATATGAACAGGAGCTGTATAACGTGATGGATTAGCTGGACGCGGTATACCCATTGGTGATGATGAAACTTGTGGTCGAACAATTGTATTATCGGAATTTCCATCGAGAAATCTGGTTAATTAAAAAACAATTATGTTTTATAAAATTTCTTTTTTTTTATTTACCTTGGTTTTGGTTGAATATTTGATAAAGATTGATGATCAATGTTTCCACCATTGGAAAATGATTTTTGATTATTAATTTTTGGACTATTTGATGAAAAATGTGATTCTGTTTGTTTCTGTTGTTGTTGTTGTTGTTCATCGATACTTTCATGTCGTCCATTCATAAATTTTGATTGAATATTATCTGCATGATGATGTCTTTTTGTTGCCATTTGTCGTTTATTTAATAGAATTGTATCTGTATCATGAGAAAGATGTTCACCTAGACGACGTTTATTATTTTGAATAATATCATTTTCTATTGGTTCACATTTAGGAATAATTATTGATGATGCTGTGACATTTGGACTAACGGATGATGCACGTCTTTCTGTCATATTATTATTCATCTTCTATTTTTTTTCTAAATCGTTATGTTGAACAAAAAAAACAATAAAGATATGCGCTGCTACCTTGTGGACAAGAAGACAGTCAGCTAATGATGACAAGGAAGAACGAATTTCTCGTTTTTTTTCTAACATATATATATATATATACATACACACACACACACACAGTGTCACCGGAGGCTATTCGTTAGAATGGAGAGGGAGAAAGAAGAGGGCAAGCGAGCGGCCGAAAGCGTAGTAAGAGAATGAGTGAGAATCGACATGATGTATGTATATGGTAGCGGTCTTTTGCAGAATATTGCCTACGGCAATCCGCTTGCCATGTTGCTGCAGATTAGTTTTCTCACGATTAAACACCAAGAGAAAGGAAGAAGTCCTTGCGGCAATTGAATATGCCTCTTTCGTTCGTTTGTGTTGCCTTGGAGTTTCAATCTGTCGTTTTTGCCGCAGACTATCTTCTCGTTCTTTTTCTTTTACACATTTATAAGAAGATGATCGAAAATAAGGAAAAACAAAAAAAAGAAAAACTTGTGTACGTATGTATATAGCTCATTTACCTGTGGCAATGCACAATCATCTTTCTCTCTCGCTCTCTCTCTCTTTTTCTCTTCTTCACTCCAAATGCTTCTTCTACTACTGCTTCAAGCCGCGAGGCTTTTGTCGATCCTATATGCTTGTCGTTACCGTCACTGAAGCCTCCAAGGCATGTTGGTCTAATTGATGTGTGTATGTATGTGTAAGCAATGCAGATGCGAACACAAAAAAAAGAGAGAGAGAGTTGAAAAGCAATGATGACGAGAACATGACTTGAAGCAATCTCCGTGTATTATGTGAATAGTCTTCTTTCTCTCTTCTTTACTTTTATTCTTTTTATGTTTTTAATCTACTTTGAAAGACTATATAATTAAACGTAAAAAAAAGAAGAAATTGAAATAAACATGCTCAATTATTTTCATTCTCAAAACAATATATGAAATATAAAATAGTACTAAAAAATCAACAAATTAATATAAAATATTATTCAACAAGTTTATAATATAAAAAGGAAGCATCCTTGAGGACATGAAGACACTGTTCGGATTTATAATGTATATCAGTACTAGACTCATCAATCATTTGTGAGATTTCATCAACAATAATAAATTGTCCATTATCACTATCATCATCTGTATATGCCCAGCCATTTTGTGTTCGTACATAAGCACATTGACTATTTGAACATAATATAGCAAGTAATAAATAATCATTATCATGTAAATGAATAGCTCGTGATAGGAATACAATTTCAACATTATCATATATTTTAATAAGTTCAATACGAATATCAGTGGGTGGTGTATGAGGTATAAGTGAAAGACATCCATTTATTTGTTCATCAATTAAATTTTGTACATTACATTCATTATTACAGATATTTAAACAAAATTGATTGTCTATTGGAATTTCATTCTCTAATAAAGATTTTATTCGTTTAAATGTCCATTTATTAAGATAATATTCATGACCAAATGATAATAATTGATTATTATTGTTGTTGTTTATTATTTGTAAATTAGAAGATTTATTTCTATTTTCATTATTATCATCATATGTAGTAAATTCATAAATTTCTGATTCTTTAGTTGTATCATATGATGTTGATCTATAATTTTCTGGATGATATGTTCGTGACGGTGATATATTTGGCTCGTTTGATAATGACTGAGACGATAGATTTTTATTTGCAGATAATGATGGAGATTTTTGAAGTTTTCGTTCAAATGCTAATCGACTAAGAACACCTCGAGATGATGAGATTCCATGATTATTATCTGAATTGTGTTGAGTTTGAGAAACAGATGGCGAAGATGATGATAAAACTGGTTGCGATGTTGGTGATGTTGATAAAAATTGTCTATAAATAAATCGTTGAGATAATACTCCTTCTAATTATTTATTAACAAAATAAGTATATATTTACTCGGTTGTTTTAAGTTGATCATTTGGAATAATAGGTTTGCTAATCTCTGTATTCTTTTGAATAATTTTATATGAATCAATAAAATTAGTTTTCACAACATAATAACCTTGTCCATATGGGCAATTAAAATAATGTTTATTATCATATGGACAAGCACCATCTGTATATCCTATAATATAAAATATGTGATAAAGAAGAAAAAATAATTTTTTTTTGTTACCTGGTAATGTTGAATCAATCAATTGTAATCCAATTACTGAAATTTCTTCGATCAAACCAATCCAACGTACACTATTTTATACAATTATTTTTTAAATATTTTTGCTAACAGATACTTACATTGCACGTTGTATAGAATTCTGAACAATATCACCAACATTTAAACTATTCATCAATCTCCAAAAATAAAATAAATTAAAATTTTTAATAGTTGTTTAAAAAAATCAATTATAAAATTTAGATAAAAAAACAACTAATATCATTGGTTTCATTACAATATAAAAAATAAAACAAATCAATTATCAACACGTACATAAATATATTGAACTGCATTATGAAAGATCATAGATATAAGAAAATGTGTTGATTCTATTAAACGTTTTTGTTCGATTGATGATCTTGAATGAAGTATTTGATTTAAATTATCATTTAAATTATTATTAAATTGTTCACATGTATAATTATTTTGATAATAATACCATTTATTTGTTGATAGATGTTTCATAAAAACAATATTATGTTGATTTATTTCACATGTAATAGCTTCTAATCTATATTGTGGTGAGCGAGGAAGAATTGCATCAATATTAAGTATTTCAGATGGAATTATATATGAATCTGGTTCATCAGCTATTTTTAATATTTTTATTGGTAACATATCTGGTGCTGGTCTTCGTAAATGAATTGTATCTAAATCTTGTTGATGATCCATTATATTTTGTATAATATATGATCCAACAGGAGCATATAATTCTAATGCATCAGAATATTCTCCTGAATCAAAACAAATTTTATTTCTATATGTTCGATCATCTAAATATTCTCGAGCTCGTGATTCAATATTGCCAATTCTAGCTTCATTTCGAAGAAATTCATGGACGGCTTGTTCATCATTATTTCCACTAAATGCTTCAAAAGCTAAATGTAAATATAAGAATAGTTTAAACTCATATTAAATCACATACAATGTGCCATAGTTTATTGAATGTCTTCGGATTTTTGATAGAAGGTTGATTATGTTCTAAAATTGATTTACTATCTAATAAAAAGAAACAGAAATAGATTATCTTTATCAAAACAAATGTTATAATTGTATTTCATTTCAAATAATTACTTTCTTAATTATAGAAAAAAACAAAAACAAACAATCGATAATAGATTAATAATTATCATTTAAATTTTTTACAATATATACATAAGTTACAGGGTGATTATGCAAAGCATTTAGAGGAAAATGTAATTGAGATGAATAATTCAAATTGTCATCGGATATTGATTCGAATTGATATTGTTCTTCATTCGATAACATATTCGAATAGGATTGTGATAATGGTGTTGGATCATTAAAAAATACATACCAATGATTTCTTTTTAAATCTTTATAAAACATCAATTTACTATTTATTTCATTTGATTCACATATAATAGCACTTAATTTTCCTTGAAATCGTTTAGCATCAGATCGGTTTTTTCTATCAAAAAGACATTCAAGTGAAATTGTTGAATTAGGTAAAACTAGACTTTTATTGTTTGATTGTGTTCGAATAAGAAGACATTCAGGTCGACAAATTAAAGGAAGTTTATTATTTATGAAAGACTTTTGATGAATAGCCGTTTGTACTGTTAAATATTTTGTTCTATCAGTATTTAATATTAAAAATGTTTCTTTATGATTATCACTATATGTTAACCATTTTTCTTTAAACCATATTGTATTAATCTCAGTATAAGCAGCAGATAATACAGATGTACAAATACGTGGTGATATTAAATGAGAATTTTCATGCAATTTCGAAGAGGAAGAAACTGTTTTGGAATAATTAGATGAACTTGTATTTTCTATTAGAATAAAATTAGAATAAATCTTGTTACATTTTTTAACTATACATATAATAATATTTCGCGATAGGATAGACTTATTTTCGATATATAACAATCAATTTCTTTCTTATACATTTTTTAGGAACTACAATTTTACCTGATGAATAATTTGTTGATTTTTCATTTGCAAATAATCCTTCGAATCCAATATAAGGTCTTCTTCCATGAGAATTGTATTCATTATAACCTGAGTTCGATGCCATTATAAAAAAAACAGTTTTGCTAATCTGAAAACAACACCAAAATAAATTATATGTATTTTTTTTTGTCACGTACATTACAACAATTGACTAATATGACAATAGGAAATAAATAAATATATATATATTTAATGGGCAAAAATAATTTTAAATTAATGTATCGACAAAAAATAATTGCATGAGAAACAAAATAAAATAAGATCGATTATTTAAGACAAAAACCAAAACGAAATACAATGATGACAAAGACAACAACAAAAATAAATAAATATGCTGATTATTTTATGCTGCGTTGAATTATATGATATATATCATATACAACAGCAAACAAAAAATATATTGGAATGATCCATTGAAGATGAACAAACCATCGTGGTAATTGAAATGGTAATGTATATTTACTAATATAAATAAAATATTTGAATAATATATTGAATAGTTTATAGATGTTTTACCTATATTCATGTGATGTTACTTTATAAGTCATTATTGCAAGAAATAACCCGATTTCAATATTTTGAAAAAGACTTGCTGCTTCTTCAAGAATAGTTATAAAACCCTAAAGAGATTTAATTATACTCAATTATTTCTAGATTCTTTTCAAACCTTTGGATTACTCATGGCAATACCAAATACAATTGAAAAGATGATTATAGAAAATATCCATTGAATAATTCTAATAGAAAGAAGAAAAAAAATCAATCAAACAAGTTTATTTTGTTTTATTTCTTGTTTACCTTCGTACGGTAATATATTCGAAAGCATTTCCATATTTTCTTAAATTTGTTTCAGCTTCTAATGTTGGATTCCAATATGCATCAACAACACCTTTAACTGTAAAATAATTATTTTTAGAATTTTAATTTTCAAATCTATTAATTTTACTTGTATGATGTAATGCTGAACCCATTGTTAAGAATGAAACTGAAATACTTGTTACAATAAATAATTGAACAATAAATGAAACATATTTAAAATAATGATAATCTCCATTATCAAGAATCTAATTAAAATTCAATAAATAAAATAGAATATCTATTTCGAAAACAAACTTTGCTTAATGGTACTGTTGAAATTTCTCCATCTGATTGTGCTCTTTAACAAAAAAACCAATAGATAAATATTATTTTATGAAAATAGATTTACTTTGCTAAAGAAGATGATAAAACACAATGACCTTGAGTTTGTGATTCATTTAAAAGATTAACTGCCATTTGAATTGTATCATTTATGCTGCTTGATAAACATGTACTTTCTTGAGGAACAATTGCTAAAATTGACCAACACCTATAAAAAATAAAATTTATCTTCTTGCGAGATGACAATAGCCTTTTATTGTTCTATAGGGATAGAGCTGTCTAGAATTTGCTTTTAAAAAGGAAAATTCATATGGGAATGCATAGATTCGATACTGTCAAAGAATTTAGTTAAAACTCTTCTAGTGAGAAAATTAAACTGTTAAATATGGACTGACGAATATAATTTTTTTCCTTCATACCATAAAATATTTAAGATAACACATGTTGTCAAACCAAGAAATAAAGCTGTATTGAAACCAATAATCTAAGATATAAAGAAAAGAGATTAAAAATATTTTTAGCCTAAGATTTTCAATTACTTCTTCTCTTGTTTGTTTTATTTTAGAGAACATTAATGGCATGACATTCATTAAACCACCTACGCAATAATATATATTTATTAATTCCTATAAAATCATTTGTCATACCTAATGCAATTGTACTCATCAGAAATGAATCACCCATAGCCGAATAGTCATCATGTACTGGATTGCGTATTTTTAAGCCAACCAGTAATGTCACAACAACCTTAGACAAAATTAAAAATAAGTCTATATAATTAAATATAATATTATTTACTGTTCCGGTAAAAAGCAAGGCTTTAAGAAGAGTAAATACGGAAATGATCGGTTGAATAAAAGCATGAAGAAAAATAATGACAAATGCCCATGTCCAACAAAACACCGGAATCATTGTCACGTATCTAAATTGATTTCAAAATATTTTCCTTATGAATCATTTATTTATTTAACTTACGGAACACGAAATAATGTTGCGAATGCTTGACTACCAGCAAGTGCATAGCTTACCAAGAAACATAGTCTAATAAAGATTTTTTCTTGCATAGAAAATTATTGAGAAAAAATAAACAATACATACAGAGTGAATAGTACGGTTAATGTAAATAATTGTCGAAGAAAACATGGTAGTAGAAGCTCTCCGAGTGAATGATGATTTGGTAAACATCTTTTGATTATATCTGATTTATATGCTATGAAAAAGAAACAAAATTTATTTCTTAATTTTGAACATAAAAGGAATTTTTAGAAGCATTAATAAATTGTGCCTACACTGTCTGGAATAATATTTCGTATTAGTAGTAGGTGTTACTTCATAATCGTCATCATCGCCTATCATTAGTGGTAGACTCGATTCAACATTGCCTGTAGAAGAACAATAAGCAGTACAACATATATTTACTAAGATAAAACACACAAACACGCACAAGAAAAGCACAGCAAAAAAAAAGTCACCTCTTGAAGGAACAACCATATCTCGTAATTCAGCAAATTCACCGTATTCTAAAAAATGCAAAAAAAAACAAGCGTCTTTCATTTGTCTTCAATTGTTTGATTAGGAGGGTTATCTTCTCGATATGCACTTAAACGTCTACCAATATGTTCCTGAATACGATGTTTTCTATTCGATTGAAAAGTTTTCTTAATGAAATTACATTGCATTTCATCAAAAAATACGAATGTTATTGATTCACACCATGGTAATATAGTTAGAAAGATAAAAACAATTTGAATATGATAATTTAATGTTATATTCAATATTTTCATTGTTAATACAGGTAATATAACAATGATATTACTTAAAATAAATAAACATATGGATAAAAGACGTTTTAAACTTTGATTAATTAATTTTGTACGTTCATATTTTGTATATTCAGTTAATACAAATGAATAATACAAAATTGTTGCTAAACGTTTACGTTTTAATTTATATATATCTTTATAGGATATACATATCCATAGAAATGTTAATAAATTAGCTAATATAAATAGTAGATAGATAATTATTGTTGGTATTAAAGATTTTTCATAATCATTTGTTAGATTAAAAACTAATTTTTGTTCAGTTGATTTACATAGATTTAAAATAAGTGGATTATTTCCACCTAATATTATATGAATAAAAAGAAAAAGACTTGAAAGAAAATAGATAAGAAAGATTCCAAATATTAAACAATTTTTTGAATATAATGTACTTTTATGATTGATTGTTGAATCCCAAAAATGTACTGTTTCACCAATAATAATCGTAAATAAATCAAATGTTGATAATAATAAAAGAAAATGAATAAAAAATCCAAGAGATAAACATTCATTATAGATTAGGATTGAAATACATATAATAAAGATTGTTAAGCAACGAATAATACATACAATTAAATGATGAAAAAGATAAAGATTAAAAATAGAACATTGATTTGCTTGTGTTTTTTGACGATAGCTTGCAATAATATTGCATAAGCCAATAATTAGCTGGGTTATTAATATAAGTGTTAATAACAAACTGAGACCCATTATTATTAATGAGTATAAGCGCGGAATAAGTAAAATAAGTGTCATAGTTTAAACGATGCTTTTACTGATCAAGTTTCAATCGTTTTCCGAGATATAGATATGCACAACTCTTATATATATGCTAAGAATAACAAATGGTTAACTATATGTACAATATCTTTTTTGTGATTCTTTTATATACTTATATTAATATCATCCTAGATCTAATACTCTCTAGGAGGGAGGCTCATTAAGTAAATAGTGATATACAGAAACGATGATCCTGCTCAAATAATAACAGTAGTAATCATCATATCTTATAACATGTACATTAATTAGAAACAGATGTTATCTTATAAACAAAAAAATCTAAATCTTAAATATCGATCGATCGATCGAACGATCTGTACCTTGTCTTGATGCTAAATCATAATCTGATCCGTATGTATGTAGTTCATGTTTCTCCATATGAATAGGTGCATTATCTTTGTCACTCTATATAAAATAAATAAATAACATAATATAATATTTTTTTTTAGAATTAAAATATGACTAACTTCTTGTAATATTTCAACATTTCGATAGTAAGCCTTTTGTAAAACTTCCGTAAAGAAAAATATTGTCAATATCTTTAATAAAAAAATAAATATGTATATATAAAACAATATATATTTATTATTCTTACTTGAACTAAGTAACAAACCAAAAATGAGATGACAAATGGCCAAAAACCACTTTTTGATAAAGTTACTGGAAGGCCAAGAATACCCGTGCCAAGAATTGATGCAATAGTAACAAAATCTATTTTATTTAAATATATATATTACTAGTAAAAAAATTTAATCTTTAAAAATATTTACAAAATTGTGAATAATGACCAAAAATTTTACAAAGTGTTCTGCATAGACCCATACTTGTTTAATTGTATTCGATACTACAAACTGATTATGTTTATTAAAATCACAATTAGAGGTAAAAAAAAACAATTACCTGTATTCTTTTTCTGTTAATCACAATTTTGCTCTAATATTCTAAGATTGTCTCGCCCTAATCAATAATAAATATCGATTACAAAATGTATACGCTTGAGTAAACCAAAAAAGTAAGTAATAACAAACCAAAAGCTTGATTATATATACTCTTAAAAACAAATTGATAGTTATTATATATATGAAAACTTATTATGTTGTAAACAAAATGAAAGAAGGAAAAAAAATTTTTCCATGTAAATAAAAATATTCTATTATGTTGACATTTCACTAAATACATTAAGAATACTAAAGAGAAATCCAGTCAAGACTTCCTACACACATGCAGTGTTTTTAGTCTGTCACAGCTTGAGATAAGCTATATAAAAAGTCACTTTCATCAATGTCGATACTATCAATTTGAAATATTTTAATTCATGTCGATAGTACTGACAATGAATATATAAATATCATGATAAATGGACAAACAAATAGAGATTATTAAAAACTGTTGATGATTGGTTAGTTTTCAAAGCAACTAGAATATATTTACTGATATAATTATTTGTTACATCAGTATTTTTTATTAGAAATGAATTTATTTCGTCCATCAACTTCTTCTTTGTAAATAAAGCTGATATGTGCTGATATTATTTTTTTTACAAGAAATTGATTAGTTTTATTGCTGCTATTGTCTATGTGTTAATACATATAAGCCTTTTTATTTCCTTTTTTTTCAGGCTATTTTATGTGCCATTTCGTCGATTGAAAACGTATTCTCCATTGAATAAAACTCATATTGAACAAGTTCTTCAATCATGGACATCGGAAATACCAGTCGAGCGTGCTCTAACACTTCCATCAAGTTTTTACACCTCACGAGATGTATTTGAACTTGAACGACATGCAATTTTTGGTCAAAATTGGTTATTTACAGGACATAAAAATCAATTAAAAAATCCGGGAGATTATATAACAGGTCGTTTTCTTTCAGAACCATATATAATTAATGTTGATAAGTCATCAACATTACGTGGACATTATAATGTTTGTTGTCATCATGGTATGCGTTTATTAAAAGATGATCAAGGACATCTCGAAACAAATGAAATAATTTGTCCATATCATGGATGGACTTATGATTTAAATGGACGTTTAAGAAAAGCATTGCGTTTAAAAACTATTGAACAATTTAAAGCATCAAAAATTCGTTTAAAACCTATATCAATTCAAACAATTGGTCCATTTATTTATTTGAATTTAAATCTTTTAAATAATGATAATATTGAAAATGATCTATCACATATTAATATAATACATGATAAATATTTAACATCAACAAATTATGATCAATTAGAATTTATTACACGAAAAAGTTATCCTATAAAATGTAATTGGAAAATATATGTTGATAATTTTCTTGATGGTGGTTATCATGTACCATATGCTCATAAGAAGTTAAATTCAATTTTAAATATGGATGAATATAAAGTTATTGTTGAACATCCAAAAGCATCGGTACAATATTGTACTGGTGCTAGTCGAGCAGAAGGTAATGTTAATTATTCATATATTTATCCTAATTTAATGATTAATCGATATGGATCATCAATGGATTTAAATATAGTTGTACCAGTTGATGAACGTAATTGTATTGTTCATATGGATTATTATTATTGTCCTAAAACAACAACAAAGCAGGATCAAGAAATTTTACTAAAAGATTCTGATTCTGTTCAACAAGAAGATATTTACTTATGTGAAAATGTTCAACTTGGTCTTGAATCTCAAGCATATGATTCCGGCCGTTATGTTCCAATTGTTGAGCATACTATGTATAGTTTTCATAGTACTTTATTTCATGAATTACAAAAGTATTATGATAACCATATCAAATAACATCACTTTTTTCCAATACAATTATTTTAATGGAACACAGATAATTAATTTTCTTTTCTAGATACTCGGTGAAAAAAAGATTTTTTTTTCTTGATTAATTATATTTTTATCAAAATTAAAGGCAATAATTTAGTAATTTTCTTCTTTTGTTTCTTTAATAGAAAAACGATTAATAACGTACGAAGTAACAGTAATGAGAAAAAATATTAATTTCCGTTTAACTTTTTTTAGAAAGATATTATATATAATTGTGGTGCGTAGCAAAAATAAGAGAAAACTCTTGAAACAAATTCAGTCTTCGTAAAATTTTCAGAAAAAAAAATACAGCACAAAATGCTGATTTATGTTTATTTAAATAAATCTGTAAATCTTAAATGAATACTTAATAATAGCAGTCATGTTCAAATTAAAAATTTATTCTTCTAAATCACGTTTCACTTTTATTGCCTTTCGTAAACATATAGGTCGTCTATTCCAGCAATATTTATAAAGAATACGACATTTGTATCGCTTAAAATTTCAATGTAATATGACCTCTCAAAACAGATTGCTTTATTCGAAATGATGATATTTGATTCTACTTATATTATCCTTGAATGAAATCAGACATATACTGTCTTACCTTTAATTTCTTTCTTCAAAAGAATAAACTCATTGTGTTTATGTTGTTATTTATCAATTTTTAGATAAAATTAAAATACAAAAAAGAACCGGCGATTAATATTGACAGATTGATAAATGAAATAAGCAAGAATTAAAAATGAAAAGAGCTAAACGAACTCTCGTTAAAAATTTTGGTAGTATGGGGAATTTTTTTGCGATGATTATTTTGGTAGCAGTTACTGTGATTTTTATTAATACATATGTTCTTTCCAAACGAAATCGTATGTTTAAAATTATTCTTTTTTCGAACAAGTTAATATTTTTCTTTTAAATATTTTTAGTATTGGATGATGGTTCAGACACAAATTTACGTACAGATGAAGGATTATACAATTCAAATGGCACAGGAAATTCTATTGATCTACAACAATTACAAAAACAAATAACAAGATCACCCGTTCCCGATGCTGGTAAAAATTTAAATAAAATTATTTTTAAGAAAATTATTTTTAATTTCTTCTAGGATGTGAAATCAAAGAAAAATGTTCAGATAAATATGTTCCATATAAAGTTATTTCAGGAGATGGATTAGATAAATTTCCAATGATATGTTTTAATAATAAACTGTATGTATTTTAAGCGTATATACATTCGTTTGATTCGAATATTTTGTATGTTTAGATTACTTCATAAAAATTCGAAAGGTGTTCAAGTTGGTCGTGGACTTAATTTTATAGCTATTAATAGTACAACTCTTGAAGTGAAATACAACGAAACATTTGATACGTATCTTGAAGGTAAGAAGTCTTTTATTTTGTACAGAATAAATGACATTTTTGTAATGTTTATTTTAGAAAGTTTCTTTTTAAGAGTTTTAAAATTAAAATTAAGTGATAGCGATATTATCATTATGGCTAGTTTTGATGAAATGACTTCTGGGTATGTTAAAAAATAAAAGAGTTTTATTTATTTTTTTTGTTATTATTGTTTGTAGATTGAAAGAAGCATCAGTATCACTATTGGAACAATATGGTAGTCAACTTATAAAAAAAGTTAAATATCGAGATTCATTTGTTATGATTGGACAGAAAGGATTAGCACGTGGAAAAGCAATTGAATCGGTATGTTAATTTGGTATCAATGATTTTCATCGTAGAATATGATAAAGAATCTGTTTATCTCTAATTGTCCTTTATAGATATTTTATTTAATTCATGATATCTGAAAATTGTTTTTGAAATAAATTTCATATTGTATTTTTAGCATAGTCGAAAAGGTAATCGTGATTATGGTGCAGCAGCAGAAATTAGTGGTTGTACGAAATTTCCTCGTATGTATTCTCTTATTTCTTTTTCTCTCTAAATAAGATTTCTTTTTTTTCTATAATAAAGTGGGTCAAATAACGCCATTTACACTTCCACCTGTTGAAATCTATAAAGAAGGAAAAATTTCAGTTGGTTCATCAATAGAAAACTGTGGTTTACCTCATACATGCAAAGAAAATGAATTTCCCGTACATGTTTATACTGGAAAAGATAATAATGATGAACCAAAAATTTGTGTCGATGGAAAATATGTTATTTCAAAAGGTGTTAATGATGGTGGTCGTGGTTTAAATATAGTTGTTGTTTCGAATGGTAAAGAAGTTATTCGAACAGGACATTTTGATACATGGAATGATGGTAAAATATTTAAAACAAAATAATGTTTTTGTAAATTTCGTATCTAAATTTTAGATAGTACAAATTTAGAAATCTTTCTTGAAAATCTTGAAGAAAATGTTATCATTATCGTTGTTACATTTGATGAAGCATCAAAAAAGTAAATAAATCAATTAATTTTATTCGATAAATACTCTTCTTTTTGTGCGTAGAATATGTATATTTTCATTTAGTTTAAAGAATTTTATTATCAAATATTGGTAGTTAGAAAAAAAATCGATTCACTTGCTTTTTATGCTTCTTAAATATTTTTGTGTAATTTTAAGATAAATATTAATTCTAACTTTCACGGGATAGTTTTGGTATCTTTTATTAATAACTAATCTTAATAAGGTCATGAACGAGCAGGAATTGATGAATACTAAAAAAGAAAAAAGAAAAGAAGATTTCTAATTATTTTTTATTGAAATATGTAAACTTATTTATTTTTATTTTCTATATTTAGACTTAGTCAGCATAGTAAAAATCTGTTTTTCGATCTTGGAAGTGCAACCATACAAAATTTAAAATATCGCGACGTTTGGGTACTTGTGGGACAAAAGGGTATTCAAGGTTTCAGCCCTTACGAAGAGGTATGTTTTAAATAATTATAAAACATAGATGATTTTATTATGCATGAAAAAAATTAAAATAGAACTCTGCTCAATCATTTACTTACAAGGGAACCATCAGCGATGTCAAGAAGCTTTCGAAACTTTGATTATATAGGGAAAATGAGGTCCTATAGGAAAATTCTATTAAAATTTCGATATCTCAGTTTGCGTCTATAAACTCCCTATTTAAGAACAAAGTTTGAGCTCAAAAGTTTTTTTTACATCTCTGATGATTCACTCGTTAGTTTTTCATATGAATTATTTGTGCTATAATGCTTAACTGCTTGTATTTAGATTTCATATGCTGGAACGGGATTTAGTTATGCTTCTCCAATTGATAAAAGAATGTGTGTACCACAAACATGTAAGTAGCAAAGAATATTTTATTATTTTAAATTAACGATTATCTTTAGTAAAAGGTCTTAAAATTCGACCTGATCCAATACCATATCGAAACGATAAACGACGAGATTTTTGTTCACGTTATGATGGTTATGGTGATTTTTGTAGTGGTAAATATCCTAAAATTTATTAACTATTGTTTTCGAAATAACTTCTATGTTTTGTTTTTTTTTCAGATGCAAATATCGATAAACATTTAATAGCTGTTCCATTATTAAATAAAACATTAGAAGATAATCCAATTTATTCAACACCAGTTCTAATTATTGCTGGTTAATTTTCTATTAGATTATAATTGATAAAATAGAAAAAATTTTATTTTTAAGGTATTTCACATGATGCACTTCGAATGTGTTTGGAAACTATATTGATGCAACCAGGAATTAATAATGAAAATGTTATTGTATGAAATTGAGAATATCAATAATATAAGAGAATAAACATGTTTGATTTTTTTAGGTTGCTATTGATGAGAAATTTGCTGAATCACATGAATTAATTAGTTTATTTGGATTTAAAAGTGAAAAAATCTCGAATAGTTCATCATATATGGGTAAGATAGAATATTAATATTACAAAGAATATATTTAAATAAAACTTTTCCAGAACATTATGAAAAAGCTCTGAAAAAAGTTTGGGAAATTCATTCAAATAAAGTAAAATGAAATTTATTTATTTTTTTATTATAAAATAAAATCATTTTAATTTAGGATAAAGTGGTTGTTATTGAAGAAGATCTTCTATTATCACCAGATTTTCTATACACACTTGCTTTATTAAGTGAAACATTTCGAAAAGATGAAACTATTGGTGCTATACAAATGTGGAATCCAAATTGTAAGATTTTATCTTTCATAAATAATAAAATTTCTAATATATTTTATTTTAGCTTATGATATTATCAATGGTTCAATTGAATTAATCTATCGTGTTGATCAATTTTATGGTTTAGGTTATTTATTAAGACGTTCATTCTATGAGAAAAATATGAAAGATTCATTTAAAGAATGTTGTTCTAAACGGTAGATATTATATGAAAAAAAAATTCTATTCTAAAAAAATACCTTTTTATATTTTAGAGTTTGGGATAAATGGAAATTTCCTAATACATCATCATTTTTAATGCCTGACATATCAAGAACATTCCGACGACCACTTCATGGAAATCGAAATAATTCAGAATATATTGAAACACTTTTTAATCAAAAACGAAGAACAAATTTGTGAGTATTACAAGAAAATTGTTGAATTAATAGATACTGAGTTAAATAAAACATTTGAGACTTAGTTTTTATCATACGGATCTAAATCGTATTCGTAAAATTAATTCAATGATTGTCAAAATCCTTGTAGATGTCGTATCAGTTTGATCTTACTTTGAAATGAAATAAATAGATAAAATTATTTATTTTTATAATTTAGAAATCCATTCCCACCATTATCCAATATTGATACACTTCGAAAAGATAAATATGAGGCAACTTTAATCAATGCCATAAGTTCTGCTACGTTGCTTAAATCATTAGAAAAATGTGACACTATTAATAATTATATGCATAATTTAATACAAAATCAAAATATGTATGTGAAAAAGAAAAACGATTTATCGTATATTTATTGAAAATATTTCTTTATTATATTCATAGATCAAATACATTTAAATATATATATGAACAAAAATCATTGAATGATGTTAGATCTTTAACACCAGTTTTACCATGTTTTGGACTTTTTTCAGTTGAACCATTGGGTCTTTATCATGATATTCTTCGTTTCAGTTCAAATACTTATAATTTTTATCTTGTCGGATCACAATCACCTATTCACAAAAGTATTTCAAAATCTACATAACAATATTCTATTCTCGTCATATGAATCTCTTTTCTTTAATATCAGTACTATCAAAACTTAATATCTTGAGCAATAATCATTTGTTCTAGTCTATTTATTATATTACACATCTATCAGTGGTATTCGTTCTATGAGTTGAACATCAGGCAATATATATATATATGTATTTATACCTACGAAATCATGTATTACATTCCATGTTCATAGCTTTTTGTCATTTTATTTTTTGATGTTCATATGAATGACGATAGAAATTTTGTCTATGCTTTTATTCACATTTACTTTAACTCTTTTGTTATTTCCATGCTGTTTATTGTTTTTATTTGATTTATGTACTTATGAGAATAAACTTTTTAAAGAAAAATTCTTCATTACAGATGTCATTTATAAATTGAATATAGAATATCTATTTCAACAACAAAAATGAAAAACGATAGTTATCAGAAAATGAACATCACATGTAATTAATGAAACGAACTCTTTGACTTGTTTTTTTTGGTATTGAAAAGATGATTTTATCGATAATTAGTCTTTTTTTTCGTCTCTAGATAAATTAAAACTATAAAGATTTGATCTGAACTATGAATCTACTTCGATTATGTCAGCGGTAGAGTCGAATATCTCCTTTCTTATTTTAAATCTACAAATATATTTCTAATAGAATTATTAATCCAACACGATTTACATTAAATCGTCAATTGCAACAATTAGCAGTTGCAAATAAAACACCTTCAACATCTTTTTCTGTCGGTCAAGAATTACATGGTTATATTGTTAAAGAGGTTAATAGAAAAATTTCAATGATTATCAATTTAAACTTTATTCGATTTAGATAACACCAGTACCCGAATTTCGTTTAACTGCAATTAAACTTCAACATAAATTAACTGGTTGTCAACATATACATGTTGATCGTGAACATAAAAATAATGTTTGGAGGTTAAACAAAAACAAAGAAATGAAAATTTTTATATTCTTTATTAATTCTATAGTGTTTCTTTTCAAACAACACCAAAAGATGATACAGGTGTTGCACATATTCTTGAACATACAACACTTTGTGGATCAGAAAAATTTCCATGTCGTGATCCATTTTTTAAAATGACTAATCGTAGTATGGCTACATTTATGAATGCAATGACAGGTATTTTTGAAATACAACAGTTTTATTTTAGTTTTTTTTCTTCTGAATATTAGCAAGCGATTGGACAATGTATGTATTTTCAACACAAAATCAAAAAGATTATTTTAATCTTATGTCGGTTTATCTCGATGCTGTTTTACATCCAAAACTTGATGAATATGATTTTATGTAAGAGAAATATATTTAAGAAAAATTTTGTATATTTCATTTTCGTTTTTAACAAAAAGGCAAGAAGGTTGGCGTCTTGAACATGAAAAAACTGATGATCCAACATCGCCGATTGTTATTAAAGGAGTCGTATTTAATGAAATGAAAGGTGTTTTTGTAAGTTATTTAAATACTTGACTTGTTTTTCTATGAATTTTAAATAGAGTGATAGTCATCAAGTATATGGTCGTCGAGTACAAAATAGTTTAATGCCAACATCAACTTATCAATATGAATCAGGTGGTGATCCTGAAGCTATTCCAACATTAACATGGAATGCACTTAAAAAATTTCATGCAACACATTATCATCCATCAAATGGACGGTAACAAAAACGAATTTTTATTTATTTAAATAGATCAATTTCTAATTTAAATTAGATTTTTTACTTATGGTTCATTTCCGTTATCAGATACACTTGCATTTCTTAATGATTATCTAAATAAATATGAACAACAAAAAACAAAAGTTATTTCATCTGCACTTGTTGAAGAACCTCGATGGAATAAATCACGATCAGTAAAAATAAGTTGTTCACCACAATCATTTGTTGTTGATCCTGATAAAACAACAACTGTTAGTGTTAGTTATCTACTTGGAAGGTAATAGAAGATTAATTTATTGAATTAAATATAATATTATTTAATTATTTAGTATACGAGATACATGGGAAACATTTCTTTTAAATATTGTTTGTTCATTACTTGTTGATTCAGAAAAATCTCCATTTTATAAAAAATTAATCATACCTAATATAGGTACAAGTTATTCACCTGATACAGGGTAAGTAGTAGAAAGAAAGTAGCTTTTAATAACGAATAAAAATGTTTACAAACAAAATTTAATAATTCTATAACTAGTTTAAATCGCAGAGTCATCTTTCTACGTTAATCATCGTACTTGTATAAAATTATTATACCTGAATATAGTGTTAGGTTATGTTGGTCGCAATTATAAGTTCGATTTTATTATCATTTATAAAGCATTTAGTCAAAAAAACAAAATATATCGATTATCAAAAGGATCGAATGTATTAGTAATGATCACATTGTATTCGTCAGTCTACCAGGTGTTTGATGCATTCAAGCATGATTAAACAAATATAGATTCATTTTCTAGATTGATGAAATTATTTGTTTTTAACTTAATTCAATGTGTTATCCTTTTATGATGTAAAATAAATAGAAATTAATCATACCAATATATCATCGAGTGAAACGACAAAAAAGATCGGTCATTCATAGACATAATCTCATTAAGGAATTTCACTACGTACTTTTATAATAAAAATACTCAGAAGAACTTTCAGTATAGTTTCTTATTCAATTTCGAATTTCTCAATGATTTTAGTTTTGGACGTAATACATTAAATACAACATTTCATGTTGGTTTACAAGATATATCTAAAGGTGATGTTGATCGTGTTATAAAAATGATTGATGATACATTTCAAGAAGTTGCAAAGTAAAATTTTCAAGAAATACAAAATAAATTATGATTTTTTTCTTCTTCAGACAAGGTTTTGAACAAAGTCAAATTGATGCATTAATTCATCAATTTGAAATAAGTATAAAACATCAAGATGAAAATTTTGGTCTTAAAGCTATTTTGGTTTGTATTAATTCTTAAACTTCTGTTTTTTAATGTAAAACGATATTATCTATTAATCTAGGGTGTAATTTATTCATGGATTCATGATACAGATCCAATTGATGGTCTTCAAGTAACAAAATATCTTGAAAGATTTAATAAAGAAATAAAAACAAATCCACGATTACTTCAAGAAACAGTTGAAAAATATTTTCTAGTTTGTTTAAATTTTTCATATTAATATTGAAATTATCTTTTAATTTTTTTTTTCTCCTAGAAAAATAATCATAAATTAATAGCAACAATGAATATTGATGAGGAATATGCTGAAAAGAAAAAACAGAAAGAAGCTCAACTTTGTCAACAGTTAATCTCTCAATGTGAAAATAAACAATTAATATATGAAAAAGGTTGTCTTAGATTTTTCTTTATGAAAAAAACCGAAACTAATCACTCGAATTTTTAGGTTTAGAATTACAAAAACGTCAATCTGCAACACAAAATGTTGATGTTTTACCAACATTATCTATTACTGACATTGATAAGAAGGTTGTTCGTATTCCGATTATACAAGGACAAATAGGTATGTGATATGATATGATATATATATATATGATTTAATGATTAATTTATTTATATAGGTAATACTTATGTTCAATTATGTGAGCAACCAACAAATGGTATAACTTATTTTCGTTGTCTACTAAATACATTTGATTTATCCAATGAATTAAAACCTTATTTACCATTATTTGTTAATGTTCTCACAAAGTGAGTTTTTATTGAAATGATGAACAGGAAAAACACAAGAAAGAAAATCCTATATTTTTAAAATGATGGGGGTAATAATATAGGTGGACCGGATACACCATTATAATTAATACCATGATTTAAACAGGCAACATAAGCAGGAACTTGATTTTGTTTGAAACGTGATGGACCGATTGTATGTGGTTGTTGCTGCTGCTGCTGTTGTTGTTGATAATGATCTTCATTAGGTATTTGAAGAAGTGGTGGAGTACGATGATGATGCTGTTGTTGTTGTTGTTGTTGTTGATGTTGACGTTGAAGATGTGCTGTTTGTCGAGAACGATTAACATAGGGTTGAGGTGGTGGTTGTTGAGTAGGACGAAGTGAATCTCTTCTCATAGACATTTGATTAGTTTCAGGTGGATATTGTCCGAAAAATAATGGTTGACTATCTTGCTGTGGTTCGAATATATGATTGTCAACGAAAGGAGGTACTGTAAAATGTTGTTGCTGTTGCTGTTGCTGTTGCTGTTGATGTTGCTGTTGCTGTTGATGTTGATGTTGTTGTTGAGGTGGCGATGATGAAAGTAAAGATGATATATCAAGTGGTTGATTTTGTTGTTGATATTGTCGGTTATAGTTATTAAAAAATTCATTAAATTGTGCTGATGATGACCAAAAATCATTATTAGGTGTATCATTAATTGATAAAGATTTTGTTTGTGGTATATCATGATGTTCAAGAAGATGATCAAATGACATTTGTGGCCATAATCCATTCGATAATGAATCATCAGATGTTGTACTATTACCCAATTGATCGGGTGAAAGACGAAATTGTGGATCAAACATGCGACCTTTTTGTTTTTCTCTTGTTGTAACGAAGAATAATTAGGAGAAAAAACGGGTTGATATAGGTAAATGTGCATGTATATATGAAAAGAAAAAGAAAAAATATGACGCGCGTCATTCAACTGTAACCGTTCTTTTGCTTATAAAATTATTTTATTTGTTGTTATTTAGACTTGGTTCGAAAAAATTTAATTATCTCGAATTATCCGAACAAATTGCTTTAAAAACTGGTGGACTTAGTGTATCAACACATCTCGATGAAAGTCCATTTCATATTGAAGATTATGAAGAAGTAATTGAAAATAAAAAAAAATTTTTCTTTTTTTTCTAATTTGTTTATTTATTAAGGGTATTGTACTTTCATCCTATTGTCTTGATCGAAAAATTAATGATATGTTTGATCTATGGGAAGATGTACTTCTTCATTTTAAGTATAAATATTCAATTATTTGTTGTTTATGCTTAATAATTTGTTTTTATTTTTGTTTTCAAGTAAACAACTTAATCAATACGATCGTTTAAAAACATTAATTAAAGGTCAAGCATCAGCATATGCAAATAGTGTACATGAATCAGGTCATACATTTGCAGTCATACATTCAGCTAGTCATTATGGACCTGTTGATCAAATGTCGGAAAGTCTTTATGGTTTAACTCAAGTTAATCGTTTACAAGAAATAGCTCGACAAGAAAATTTTGATGATATAATGAAAAAATTAAGTCAAATTGCTGATCATGTTTTAACGAAATCTTCTTTACGGTAAATATGAATTTCTATTTTAAATGTATATGAATTCAAAATTTTATTTTTATAGTTGTGCATTTAATGGTGAATCAAATGGTTTAGATACTGGAATGAAACGACTTGAAACATTTCTTGATCGACTTCCTGGATCATCAACAACTAAATTACAAAAAATACGTCATGAAAATGCTCAATTAAGTCTTAAAAATGATTTTAAAACAGGAAAAACTAAATTACCATCAAAAACTCATTTTGAAATGCCATTTGACGTCTTTTATGCAGGTCAATGTTATGACAGTGTACCATATAGTCATGATGATTATCCACGGTAAATTTCCCTCTCGTTTTTTTTTTATCAAATAGAAATTTATTTTACATAGGTTATCGGTATTGACAAAATTAATGTTTAATAAATTTTTATTACGTGAAATTCGTGAAATAGGTGGTGCATATGGGGGTGGTGCTTATCTTCGTGGAAATTTATTTTCATTTTTTTCATATCGGTAATTAACAAAAAAACAAATTAATAGAAAAAAAAACTAAATTATTAAATAAATTTCTAGTGATCCACATTCAATTGAAACACTTGAACGATTCGGTCAATGTATTGATTATTTTGCTAATGGAAAATTTAATGATAAAGATGTTGATGAAGCTAAATTAGGAACATTTCAAAAAGTAAAACTTCTATATAAATAGAATATATAATGTTAATATATTATTTTTTTTAGCTCGATAAACCGAAATCACCTGGTAATCAAGGTATGACACAATTTCTACATGGAATTACTGATGACATGCGACAGAAAAATCGTGATCGAATATTTGCTTGTGGAAAACAAGATTTAATTGATGTTACGCAACGATATTTAGTTAATAAGCCTTATGCAGCTACAATTCTTGGTCCAGATAATCCTAAATTTGTTACCGATGGACAATTTCGTCAAGTTAAAAATGTTCAAATGCCATCAATTGGAGAATAAAATATAGGCTTTTGTTTTTTTCTTTCTGTGTTACCGTTGTTTATTTTCTTTATAAGTGTGTGTATTTAGATAAATAAATATAGAACCATCTTTAATAAATAGATTTATTATATATACACTTTGTAGATGACATCAGATAAAGAAATAGAATTAAATGAAACACAGTTAAAGTAGATGATCTATAAATATTTATATATATATATATATTTATATTATTTAAAATTCATAGAGTTAGTTCTGTTCTTAATAAAGATAATAAAAATTATGGAAAGAAAAATTTAATTGATGGTAGTGAAGAAACTTGTTGGAATTCGGAAGCAGTAAGATTTTCTTTCTGTTTATAATTAAGATTGATACTTTCTCATATTTAGGGTTCATCACAATGGATACAAATTACTCCTACAAATTCTTTTTCTTTAAATAGTATTGCTATTGAATTTCAAGGAGGTTTTGCAGCAAAACGATTTGTTATTGAATATCGTCAAGAAAATGGAACATTTACATCTATTGCAGAATTTTATCCGGATGATCATGGCAAATTACAAATATCCTTTTCTTTTGTGTCTATGATTTGCTTTTTTTCGTTATTCAATATATATTTAGATTCCTTAACTTTAGATATACGTCTTTCGTCTTCCAACACCGTTTACAATTGATCAAAGTCCATTTCGTTTAACATTCTATGATAGTTATGATACATTTGGGAGAATTATTATTTATGTTTTGAAAATTTATGAAAATAAATAAACTAGTTCAACAAGTTATACATTTGAGGAAACTATATACATCTGCTTAATCTAGAAAATATGTTATTTTAAGCTTTACAAAGACTATCACTTCATATATGCTTTTTCTGTTCGTAAAACAGATTTGACAGTGCTGTAGTAAATAATCTATTCTTGTGAATCATTGATCAAAGAAGAGTTATTTTCTTGTGTATCTCATGTCTCTTATTCATATCTGTTAAAGTTAAAAAATGATCTATGATTTTCAATATGATAACCTGTAGATCAATGATTTAATTATTTCTTTTTTGCTTAACAGATGATATTTTTGTAAAAATATTTTTATTGATTCATACTTATTTCTCATCCTATTAGAAGTAAATGCTGTTTTATGCAATAAATATATTGATGATAAATCAAAATGTACTCTTCAAGGTTATAATAACTTTTTCCTAATGAGTCAATCAAGAAAAACAATAATAATAGAGAAGGTTATATTTCAAGCGTAAAACTATTTTAAAAATTTCAATATTCTCTCTGGGATATTTGACAGATTCAAACACGATTAGTAGCTGCTATGAAATTTGTCACATATCAAAAAAATTTCAATAGTTTACGTTTAATTTTCTTCTAGTTATTATTTGTTTCAAGGTCTTGATCACACTTAAAAAATTTTGTTTCTTTTAAAAACGTCATTTACTATACAATACCTTTAAGTGAAAACGTCAATAACCTTACTTATACATAGTTAAACGTTCTTTAAGTATAACAATCATTATTTGTCATATTATTCTTTCTAAAGGCTGTATGTTTGATACTTCGTTGTTTTATAACTTCATTTTTTCTTTCATATCAAAAAAGAAGTTAATTTAAGGTAAATAAAAATTATTGCCATGGTCGATTGATCGAATAAAAGTGTTCAAAGTTGTATACTAAACTTTATATATATATATATGTATAGATACATAAATGTTTATTGAAGAACGAGGAAATTAACTGAGCAAGTAAAAATATGCACTTGTGCACTTGAAAATGAAGAGAAAAAACACGAACTATAGGTGAGAGAAATTCAGTAGCTGATTTGTATTTGTTATTGTTGTCATTTGACTGATCTATGATTGCCTATTTCATTTCATTGGTTTCTTTATATACTTTTCTTGAACAGAAAGCATCATTAGGTCATTTGTGATTTTATTACCATTTTTTTTCCTTCAAATAAACTATAAAAATCAATATGCGATTAAAAACACTTCGTAAAGAAAGACCAGCTTTTGAAAATGAAGGTAATCATTTCATTTGGAAATATAAATAAATATTTTGCATAACTATTTACAGGTGTTTTTGTAAATGGTAGTCGAATGGATCTACCACATACTGAAGCTAAATCACTTAAATATCGTTCAAATAATAGATTAACTTCTTTAACATTTTCAAATAATGTATTACTTTCTCATCATCCTTCTCTATATGATCATACTTATGAAATGAATACTCATTTCATTCAACAAACACCCATGCATCAAAAAGTTCGTCTTTCATCACCATCTGAGACATCACATCTATCATCATATCAAACTATTGAAGCTAATTATCTTGAACATGGTATTCGTATAAATTTAAATCCAACTATAACAACAACTATTAAACGGCATAATCAAACATCAGAAAATTTAAATGAAAGAAATTCTGCACGCAATACTCAACGGCATAAATCATTAAATAATGGACAATTAAGTCGACCATCAACTCCACTTCATTGTTTAACTAATGTACAACATATAAATGAATATGTACGACCATCTAGTTCATTACAACGAACAATTTCAATTGATCGCGAACGAATATATTCTCATCATCAATCATCTAATAATTCTTGTTTATCAACAACTGTTGTAAGTGAACATTATGATCAAAAGATTTTACCTAAACAATCTAAAGTTACAAATGATAAACCATCATTAGCAACACTAATTGGAAATGATCCTGATCTCGCTTATATGAGCTCATTATTACAAAGAACTGGTGGAGCTTCATCACGAGGTAAAAAAAAGAAAACTTAAAAAAGAAATACTGTTTTTCTAATTATTATTATTATTAAAGAAACAGTTAAAAATCGACCTGTTCTTCGTGTGCCACCTGCTATACAACGACATAGACAAATCGTAACAAAAACAACTTCTAATCAACCAGATATATCTTCATCAATAAACAGTTATACAAATTCATTAGTACGTCATGCAACAATCGCTACTGTTCCACAACCAACATCGTCATCAAAAAAAATTGAAAAAGATATTGTGAAACATGCATCACGTATTCGAACAAATAATTCTCAAAATTTTTCAAAATCACATACTCATGAAAATAGATCGCTAAATTCAAATTCATTAACAAGACTAAATTATATGAATAAACAAAATCAAATGTTAAAATCATCGAAATCTATTAGTATGGTAAGTACTAATCACATTCTGTGATTTTCTGATAAACCTAATGAATAATAACGAGAGAAAAAAGATGAAGTAATTAAATACATGATCATTGTATATCTATTCTTTATGTAGGAACCTCTCAAGCTTCTCCTAGAACCTACATTTCGTTCAACACCATCACCTCCCCCATCACGTACTACTTCAATATCATCAAATGATTATCATGCTGCACAAAAAAATAATAAAAAACGTAGTATATTACATACATCTTCATTTATTGATAATAACAATAATTATGTACATGGTGGTGTAACAGATTTTATTCCAAATGAACATTTGAAATCATCATTATTAAATTATGAAAATTTATCAAGAATGAAAACTATACCATCAGATATGATTACAAATTATAAAACTCCTCAATCAAATTCATTTGATTCTGGTTGTTATGATCGTAGTAGTAATTATAGTGGTGATACACATAGTATAACATTAAGTATTCAACAAGCATTAAGTTCTGTACCATCTACACGATATACAAGTGTAGGTACACGTCGTTCAAATACAAATAAAAAAGTTTCTTTCGACGATCAATCTATGACTGTTATTTCAACAACACCAACTTATGTTTAGAAAACAACAGATACTAATCAGTACGCAATTAGAACAAGTAGCGTGTGTATGTTTTAATTGGTACTTTTTTTTATTTGTATCTCTGATAAAACTAAAAAAAAAATTTAATGGTAAAATCTTTTTTCTATTCAAACTAATTATAAAAGGCGAAATATCAAATGTATACGGAAAGTGTTGATAATAAAATTAACTATATAACAATCATTAGAAATTTATGAAAAGTAAGCATCATGATAAATGAAGTTATGAGGAAAGAAAAATAAATAGACGTGCTATTTCTAATAAAAAATATAGCTAAAGAATAAAAATAAAATTAGAATTTTATTCTGTAGTAAAATATAAGAAAATAAAAACATTCTCTTCAAAACATTCAAGTAATATGAGACGTAAGTACATTTGTAAATAATTCTTTTTCTTGTGTATATCATACATAGAGAATTAATATTGTTATCACAATGACCTCTGATATGAATTTTTTGTTTGAATTCTTAATTCATCTCACTGAGTAAGAGAAGATGAAAGATAAATCGAGATTCGAGTACTAAACAAACAGTACGGAGAAATAATCATATTATTTCCTGTTAAGATTATAAATAGAAAATATATGCATTATATGCTATCCAAGAAATAAATTAATGAAGAAAATTGCATTTTAATTAGTGAAAATGAAGTATAACAAAAATAATGTCCATTTCATCATCAGATATGTTGTGTTTTCGTGTTTTTCATACGAACGTCATCATGTTGTATTTTCTGAGTACAAAATACAGGTATTGTTATTCTATAAACAAAGTCATATTATCAACAAAAATAGTTTAACTTATAAAGAAATCATTTCTTATATATTTTATAATTAACATGAAAGTACCTTCAAAACAGTATCGTAGACTGTCAACTTCTGCATTTGCGCGTACTCTTTCTCTTCAAGAAAACATTATATGCACATATGTTTTACAGAAATATGTGAATCAGATAAGAGTATTTATCAAGTATGGTGAAGAATATGACTTGTTGAAAGAACTTATGTGATAATTAAAAGAAGAATTTGTTTTCAATGTGTCACTAATATCAAAAAAGACCTGAATAAAGTTATTAACTATTGAATAGTCATAACAACAAAGCAGTATACTTGAACATTGAAAATGTTTCTAACGAGTAAATTGCATTCGAAATACACTTGAATTTCTTAAGAGAACTTGTATAACATGTTTCATGTAAAAAGTTGTTTCTACTAAATAACCTTTTATAATTTTGTTTACAGCAAATGATGTGAATAGTTCATTGTTTATTTTTTTAGCTACATCAGCAGAACGACCAGGTTCAGCATCTTTAGTTCGATATGGTACACGACAACGTTTGCAACATTCAACTACTCGACGAGTCCATGTAGTAGAGAATCTAAACAATCTTGTTAGTGTTGATAGCAAAAGAAATTCTTTATCAACTTTAACAGCAGCTTTCATAGAGGCTAATAAACAAGCAAATGAAAATAATCAAGATCAATCAAATACACACCAAGATTTACCACCAAGTCCTTCATTAAAACATTTAATATTCAAAAAAGTTCATCCTGATCCAATTAAAGTTAGGATATACCTATTATTTTAATATATAAATTATTTATTCAATTTAGGTTAATATTCGTTGTATATTCCTACGTGTTGGTGAAATTGATACATTAAATGAACGTTTTTATGCTGAATTATTACTTGAAGCATCTTGGGAAGAAAAATCATTTAAAGGTTTACAAACACGATCATTTGATCCTTCTGTAAACTGGACACCTGAACTTGAATTAATGAATGGAATCGGAGAATTAGATCATGATATTACATATAGTGTCCATTATGACAAACAAGGTTTAGCAACTATTACTGAACATCATCGATTGAAAGGTACATTATGGGAACGTATGGAATTACATCATTTTCCTGTTGATGTTCAAGAATTATCATTATCTATAACAACATCACATTCAATTAAAGAAATGATTTTTACTAAAAATATAAAACAACCATCGGGTGTTAATCGACGTATATTTACAGATGAACAAGAATGGTATTTATTTGAACATGTTGATATTAAAGTAACAGAACAAATTGATGAATATCTTGATGATCAATATAATCATTCAGTTGTTATTTGTTCTTCTCATGTAGCACGGTTAGTTCATACATAAAATAAATTCATTTGAATCTTTTTCTTTATCTAGTAAATACGGATATTTTATTTGGAATGCATATTTTCTTATTTTTCTTATTACATCAGCAAGTTTTACGACATTTCCAATACCACTAACAAAGTAATATTAAAAATCTTGATTTATCCGATCATATCTTTATTCAGTATCCATGGGCGCGTGCAAATTGCGTGTACATTACTTCTAACATCAATTACATTTCGTTGGTTATGTTATAAAGCATTACCGTATATTGAATTATTTTCTTAATTAGATATAATTCCTCTTTTCTTTTAGTACGATTTCTTATTTGACAGCAGTTGATGTCTATGCAATCGGAAGTATATTTTCACTTTGTCTTCTTAATATTTGTAAGTATAAAAATAGATAAAACTTTTATTTATTTTTTTATAAATAAATTTATAGATCATGGTGTGATTGGTTATATTAACTATCGTATGTCAGGAAATATATCAGGCACTACAACTAGTTCAGAATATGTATTGACTGTTGATCGATGGGCTCTTGTAGTTTTTACAATATGTTTTTGTGCCTATCAGATTGGTACACTTATTTGGACCTATTTAGTACCATTAAAAAAACGTCGAATAATGTTTGTAAAAGACAATAATAATCGTTTTCAAATTGAATCAACATATAATGGAAAAATCAATTTTGTTAATATTGTACAAAGAACAGAAGGCAATAAATTGAATTAATAAACTATTAACACTTTCGAATATTGATATCTATATATATTGTAATTTTTTTCTTTTATTGCTGTATTTTAAAATAAATATGAAAAACTTTTTTTTGTTTAAATTCTATCTTACAAATCATATTAATGAGTAGTATCGTTTTCAGTTAATCTGATAAAATGCAGAAATGGAAATTAGGTTCTAAGTGAATTTGATATTTCCGTATTATATATTATTTTCCTTTGTATTTTTTCTAATCATTTATGAATAATAAAAAGTTTATAATTTTTTCTTCTTTTTATATTGAAAAGATTTAATAGGAAATGACATATATTACCACTCAACTGTAATCATAAAAATTTGATGTTGTACTTTTTATTGTCCTCAAAAAACGTTTCTGAACAATTTTTTTTCCCATAAAATGATTGTTTAAAAAAAGTTGTGGATCACAATAGTTTAAATAAATATAAAATAGACAAACGAACAAATAAATTGTGTGTAAAAGAGAAAAGTGGCAAACGAATAAGAAGCAGAAAAACACGTCAATTGCGTATAACAATAAATGGAATAAGTTTTATATTTTTTTAAAGTTAAACTGTTTCAGAAATAATCATCACATTTGAGATACTAATAAAAATGAGGCAGAAATTAAACGTATACCAATTAAATATTCATTTATCTGAAGACAAAATATATAAATTCATATTCTTCATTTGTCAACTTCAGATTAAGAATAAATTTTTATCTTATAATACTATTGATTTTTCCCGAAAGAAAACATTTAATATAGGTACTTTGAATATTAATTCTGGTATTGAATAAAGAAATATTGAAAATATAACTAAACTCGAGCCAAGTGTAAATAATATTGTTAATTGAAATTCAAATATTAATATACTAACAATACATGATATAATAATAGCCATTGATGTTGCAAAACCTTTTAATATATTATCAGCATGTTTAACTACTAATGCAACAATAAGACCACCAATAGAATGAATAAGTGTAGCTACCCATACCATTGATGTATAACCAAATAGAAAACCTTTTGCTTGAACTTCTGCTCCATCTGATAAGTACGTTGTTATAGCACCAAAAAACATTCCAAATATACCTAATTGAATATTACGTATCCAGACAGATACTTCTTTACTTTCTTTGAGAATTTTTTCGAAATAAACACCAGCCAAACCACTTAATATGCCTAGAAGAAAATAAAATAAACAAAATTCAATCATCTTCTATTAGTTTTCTTGTTTTCATGGGAAACATACAAGCAGTTATAACAGCCATAAATCCATATACAGCATTAACATCTTGTTTTGTTGCTGTTGATGTCATATTTTCAACTTGTACAAGTGAAATTCCAATAAAAAGAAGAAATAATGCAAACCATTGAACAAGACTCAATTGTCGACGTAGAATAAATACCATTAGTATAGCAGTTGTGAATATTTTTAATTGATATGTGACCTAAATAAATGTTTTCCTAGATTACTGAAAAATTAGTTAAAATAAAAGTTTTGATTTTAACCTTATTGATGATTATTAACAGTTAACGGTAATTTAAAGAAATCTCTATCCTTATTTGTATAGTCAAAAAAAATTCTCATAAAAATATTTTTAGAAAAAAAATCTTCCTGTTGAATCTTACAGTATTTTTCTATTGAATATGCATTTGATTTTAAGACTTTTTGCCATAATTTGCAAGAAACGCTCACACATTTGTAATAGTCTCGATTCCTAAGACCAAAAAACAAACTTATTTGGAGTTATTTAAAGAACTACGAACGTTCGATACAGACTGTCCTGTAACTCATTACAATAATAGTAATCCATTCATTTTTTGGACGTTGCTCAAAGTTTATTAAAGACTATATCATCTTGAGGGTGCTATCTGTCATAATTTTTAATAAGTACTCCTAACGTATTTATGATACTGTTGTGATAATGTCTAATATTCTTGTATTTTAGAAAAGAAAAAAATGTGAATTTGAAATTACCTGAAATGTAGCAGCATCTAAATTTGAAATTGCTATAAACAATAGATTGTTTTGTAGCGTGTAAAGTAAAGCAGGTAGACCAGTTTTAAATGTATCATAAGGTTCACGTACAATTTTATCATAGATTAATTTAAAAGCTTTAACAACATTACGTTCTTCATTAATAACTAAAATAATACTAAAAATTGTTTTTTGAATTTCAGAAGTAACAACAGCTGTTGAATTTATAAAACGTGGTCCAGGTGTTGTACGTACATAACGTAATAATAATATACTCATTGCATTTTGTAATGTTAATGCAACTAAACTAACACGTTTCATAAAAGTATTAGTTTGCTGATGAACCAATGGCACCGAAATATTTGGTGCAGAAGTTGGTACTAAAAAAATTACAAAAATAAATTATTTAAATTTAATTCTCGATTAAATTATAAATATTCATGCGATATCACACAAAAGGCATTGTCAATTCTATGCACATACACACATATTTTTAAACAGACGGTTACTTATACCGTTTTTGATTTCAAATGTTTTTCTTTTATATCAAAATAGTAAAAATAAAGAAATGAATATATTAAATACAATCTTACCTGAATAAGAAGTTCGATCGCTTGGAGAACTTTCATTACCTGGAATTTCAATAATTATTTGATTGTCCTAAGAAAATAAAATATAATTTTTTTCTTTCAAGGCCAAAATTAGTTTATCTTACTTTATGTGCCATGACGAGTTAATTTTTTGAACAAGAATAATGTGTCGTATAACACGTTACTGTTGTGTTAAATTTAAAATCAAGCAAACTAAATGCTACAGCTAGTGCATTGAAAAAGATTTGTCTAGAATAAGATATAATATACAAGTTAGTAAAGAAGAAAGTAAGATTCGTTTCTTTTTCTTTTTTTTTCGAGACGAGAAAAAATGCAATCATGCATAGCAAGTATAATTTGTAGTCTTTTATAAAAAAAGAATACAGTTACCTAGTATATTTCATAGTATAAATATAGTATTGAATAGTAAACAGTCATGATATATTGACACTTTTAAGTTAAAAAAAGTATGTTGTACCTGTTTTAATTTCACGATGATTTTTACTGATAAATTGTTGAGTTTGGAAGTGCAAAACAGGTCTTAAATTTCGTTACTATTTACTCTTTATCCAGATTCCCGAATTGTCAATAACTATAATACGTAGAAAAACCAGCTGTGACACATAAATAATGAAATACTGGAACAGTATAACCCTCGTATAGATGTGATTTTTCTTCTTATATAATATTTAAATATGTCGATATTTGTTTTGTTCTATTTTTCGCTCCCATATGTTTTCTAAACATTCTTTTTTTTCGATATGGCTCAGCCATTTATCATGGTCGTTTATATTTCAGTTCTACTCTGGTCATTTTTTTTCCTTAGTCACTATATATAGATTTGTACTAAGTGAATGACGAGTAGAAGCAAATGTTTTTAATCGATCAGGCAATGTACTATATTCATTAACGAATGTACTTTTTTAACTCAATGAAAAAATAATAATGTATGTACCAAGAATTTGTTCTTGTTGAACTAGCTTTATCTTTGTTTTTTTTTCGTAAAATAATCTCCTTGATTATTATCATTGTCAATACCTTCATCTTTTCTTTTTCTATCTACGTGTTTCGTCAAGCGTTCATATCACTCATAGTATTTTATGCTCGTAAAACTATGTAGTACTTGTGATTTTTATTTGTATATAAATTTATAGCTTACCACTTATTTTCTTCATTTAATATATATATATTAGTCATGGCTTACTAAAAATATCATTCTTATACAAATAATTCGAATAATGATGTATACAATAATACGGACACCTACAGCTAAAACTGTCGTATATGTGCTAATGTCATCTTTAATCGTCGAAGCCATCATTCAAACATTAATGTAAGAATTTATAAAATATTAAAACTATTCTCATTCATATTATTTCCGCTAATTTTGTTTTTATAATTCGCATTCATTCTTCTGTTTATTTGTCGCAGCGTTAAATCTTTTAATACAAATAGCTTAGAAGCAGCGTCTATCTAAGAATAAATTTATCTACTCAACTAACCTAGTATCCGTAGAGGTCCTGTCATTTTTTTCCACTTACTTGACAAAGTATCCTTCAAAGAGAATAATTTGTTTTTACGATTATTAAAATGGGTTAGTTCTTATTTCGTTAAAAAGTCACACCTTTCCCTCATCTACACTCTTTGAAATGTTTACCTCCAAACCGCCATTTTTTCAACGAAAAGAGAATCCACTATTAAAATGACATACAAGTTTGAAAGTATTAAATGAAGCAAAAAAGAATTACAGAACAAGGTGTACAACCAACTGTAATTACTACCATGTTAAATAAGACCTTTGATATACATTTCTATGTATTTTTTCTTTTATCTATAACATCTAAAGAACAGAGTACTAAATATTGAGTGTGATTACATAATTTTAATATTTCATCAAAAACATTCGTTAAGCTCTTCAATAAATGTTTTTACATGTCGAAATAAAATTTGATCTTAATATCTATAAGGATTAAATGTATTAACAGGTAATACTGACATGATATCTAAACTATTACATAAGTATTATTCGAAATCAAAACAACAATAAAATATACTATACCATTTTAATACGAGAGAATCACATGTGTCGCGTTTATAAAAGTAGGAAAAAATATCAATACTTATCTTTATTACTGTCTGTTATCTAGAATATATTTTCAACGATATCGAATACATTCAAAAATTGTAACCATTACTTGATTTCTCTTGAGTAGTTACACCATTATATTGTATTTGTGTCTTTTTTCAAATAAAAAAAAACTTTACGACAAATAGAAAAAAAAGTCATTTACATATCACAGGAAAGTGAGTCGTGACAATCGATGTCAACTTTATATAAACAGAAAGAAGTAAGATCGATGTTTAAATGAAATGGTTGAAATAAAGAACCAATCAAGATGTTGGTATACATAACTTCATTTATTCAATTGTTTCATTTAGTAAATAAATAAGTACATGAAAAAGAAAAAGATTAATTTGTTTTATTTAGTATACTAACCAAAACATAGAGATCCGTACATTGAGTAATATTAAATCAACAGATTTGAATCAAACATTTAAAAAAGACATGTAAAACTTATAAATGCCAAAGAGTATTACATATAATTAAACTATTTTGCTTTATTATATGTTGATAAATTCTTTCCTGTCGATATTATATTTAAGAACATTAAAAATAATTGATATCGTAGAAACTATAATTTTATCAAAAAAGAAAACCTTGAGCTTTAAAATGCTGGAATAATAATCTATTTATTTGAATAAATAGTTAAATAAAAATGAAATAAATGGAATTTTTTTTTGATTTTATATAATGAGATATAGTAGTCATGAGTTATAAAATTTCACGTTAAAAATTGAAAGAAAGTATAATTTAAAAAATGTTTATAAAATATAGAATGAATTTTCGTTTGATTTAATCACTACGTCCAAAACAACATTGTCGAATACATGATACACAACATTGAAGAAATGCCCAAACAATAGTTAAGACAAGTAAAGCAAATGTCCATTTATATAAAACTGGATTGCAGTAATTAGGTGCCAATGGAATAATAAATTGTACTTCTTTACGAATACCAAATACCCATATACATCCAAGAATAAACCAAATAAAAACAAAAATTGATACTACTAATGTGGCAAATACATTTAAACATACACCACAACTAGCGACTAAAGTTAATGCTGTTGAATCTGGAATAAAACACATGAATGTTCTACAAATAAAAAAAAACAATAACTAGTTCATAGAAAATAGAATTTAAAAATATTTAATTTACACTGCAAGAAAAATTGAAAGACCAACAAGTACAAGACCGCAGACACCAGCCACGATCATATAAGTTGGAATACGTTGATCAATCGGACATTGTCCTTTGTAATGTAAGCCAATTCCTAATTCAATCAATGGAATAATTGATGCAAGTAATGTTGAACTAGAAAATAATATTTTGTTTTTATTTCAATTCGATTCGAATAAAACTCACATAAGAAAATAACTTGTGCCAAATGTTCGACTAGCTGTATCTACAGGAAGATAAGCTGATGTACGAGATCCATTTCTTAATGGAGCTGTTTCGTTATATCCTTCAAAGGAATTTGGGTCCATTTATTCGTAATGTAAAAATTAATTAGAAAAAAATAACAACAGATGAATATATTGCTTATACGAGTCGCTTTTTTTATATCTGTTTTTTCTCTTGCTAAAAGCTGATTCTTTCTTTATATATATATATATATTTTTCTCTTTTTACATATGCATAAGGCGTGCTCACAGTGAGACAAACCTTTCGTTTCTCGCTTACTCGGGCGCAAATAAATAAATCGGTCATACAAATAAATCATATCGTCGGTTCTCTTTTTTTGTTTCATCCAATGAATACAAGAATATGATGATTAGTAACTTCTATTCATAATTTATTTTTATATAAAATCAAGTAACAACTTATATTAAATAAGAATTTCAACATTAATATTTATTTTATAATGGTAAATTAAAATAGCACAAAGACTAATAATCTCTTGTCCTTGGTTTATATAATCACTAATAATTTACAGAAAAAAAAGACTTTCATACAAGTCGGATTTCTTTTAGACAGCTTTATTATTCTTTTTAAAATTTATTGAAGCAATGATATAATTTATAAGACGTTTTTTATTTTCTATTCAGTCCTTCACTGATCAATTATGTAAAAATTATACGAATTCCAGATGTGTAACTGTATAAGTATATGATATTAATTATTCGGATGAATTCTACTAACTTTGGAAATAAGTTGTTTTTATACACAAAATGTGTGTGTCTGTTGATAGAAGTTGAGGAAAATATAAAAACAACTAATTAGAACAATTATTCAAGATATTATCATCCAACCGTAACTAATTGGCAAAATAATATCAAACCATAGTTTGACACTGCGTAAGAAATCTAGATTTTTCTGTATGTTAATTTATTTACTAAAGGGACTAGTGTATAAATTTAACATATGGTAACATATAACACCCTTATAAATTATGTCAACCATTAGAAACAATCGTGAGTCAGTGTTTTCTATACTTTTTAAAATCTTCGTTTACTAAAAACTTAAATGATTGACAAAATTCATTTCGGTTTATTGTCAGATTTCTTTGTACTGAACGGTGAATTGTTAGATCTTGTAGAACATATTATTTCTACAATTTATTTAGATAGCGATCTGAAAGTGCATACTATATTTTTAGTTATTAATCATTTATGCAAAGTGCTGTTCTTAGCAATACGAATTGTTTGTGATAAAATACAAATATCAAATAAAGAAATATATAGAGAAATTGTGGTACAAACTGAATTTTTAATTGATCATTGATTATTAGCGATGTTACTTTATGTTTATTTTTTATTTAAAGAAAAATAAAGATAAAGCAGTACTCCCAATTCATTACAAAGATTTCGATAGCATTGATAAGTAGGCTAATTAGTGTTATAGATAGTTAGTTCAGTCATATAATCGAATATATAATAATATCGACTATCACTGTGTTATTTGTCAGATACTTATCTAGTCGATGAATGTATAAAGTATTCATATAAATAATCGATAAACACATCTATTGTTATAGGTAATTATCATATTTTGTGAATAATAGCAAGAAATTGATGCATTCGATCTATTATACAATAAGACTTTTAACTCGTTCAACATAAATATACATATATGATTTAAATGAATCAATTTTTAACAACCCGGCTGTAAGTTTAATCACAATTATTGTCGAATAAATGACTCAAAACAATGATGTGGATACTATTATTTAAATTGAAAGTAAATGATACTTGTTGTACAGCAAATGTCTCGAAAGTATTCAGAATATATTTTCAATCATAGATTTCATAATCAATGATGGTATTGTAAGTGCTATAGAGTAAATATACATATATAAGTTGATAATAAATTGACAAGATGTGATTCTTGAAAAAAATTTAGATAGATGTTCCAATCGATCATCTAACTTCATTTAAGAAAAGTATTGTACAACACAATTATAGCACATAGTTTTTTGTATATATATTCTTCCACTAGAAACATCAAGGGCTACACATAAAAATAAATATAAGATGACTTTTATCGAAAAAAGGAAATAAATATAAATCATAAAAGAACTTATAGTCATAATGAATTTCTAGATTTACATTTTTTACGCAGTGTTTTAATATTACTCCTCATCAACTAGATATACTAACTCTTCTTTTAACTTTAATCATTTTTACTGGTATATTTATTTAAGTTTCTTATTATTTATAATGTTCGATATAAATTTTTTTAAGATTGACCATGAAGAAAGAACTGTTTCAAGTACAATATTAATCTGTCGTAATTTAGCGATGAAATATCGCTCAAAAATCATTGAACAATTGTATTGTATACAACTCTTTTGTTAGTTATTCAAGTCACTGAACGTAAATTTAGAAAATAATAAAATTCATCGACGAATTCCGGAAAAATCATTACAATCAATAGGAAATTACGGAAATGATTAGAACTTGAATGCATTCTATATGACTGGATTTTTTAGATGATTTCCGGCGAATAAAAATAGGAGATTGGTCGGTAATGATCGGAAAATTATAAAGTTTTTTCAGCACGAAATACCAAACATATATAGCATTAATTCTCAGTATTAAATAGAGTGAGTAACTCCATTTTGTCGCTCATGAAAAAAAGTTCTATCGATTCAGTGAATAACTTTTTTGACATATTCTAAATTTACTCGAACAAAACTTTCTCTTTGTTCCACTCTATTCACGTTCTGAGAATCCTCGATTAAGGTTCATGACAATTTCAATTTTATTATCATAAATGGAAAATTATTAGATATTCAAATTTATTACTAAGTGGAAGGGAAACGTTATCTTTATCACATCGCTACGAGCAGAGTGATGTCTGAGATATTAAAAATGAATTCTACTCTAACCATTATGCATTATCTTAGCTTTTATTCGTTAAAATACAAATTCTTAATAACACTAAATGTTTCTGGGTTTTGCTCTATTGAAACGTAATACCAATTTTTGAATCTATATTTTGCGCAGCTATTATAGTATTAGAATCTGAACTACATACACACTTACATTTGATTACAATACTTCAATATAGATTTCATCATAACGTTTAAAAAAATATTTCAGTAATATCAGCATGTTCGTATTATTATATATAATTTTTATCAAAGAAAAAGTCATCTTTCATCTGTCAGTTAGTAAATCATAAAAATAAGTTAGAATTGTTTTTTTAAATAATAAATATACTCCATTAAGAAAATTACTTTTTGTTCTTAATCATGCAATTACAAAGTCCAATAGTGAAACTGACTACTACAGCTTTTTCATGTAGAATGAAACATAACCTAATCAGATTTTGATCTTTTCGCTATTTTAGCATTTATTTCATGAATGTCAAAAGTAATAAAAATCTTTGACTTCTATCATATTGAATACCACTTTACTTTAAACGTACATTGCTTTTGAAAAAATTTAACAAAAAACTTTTCTTTTTCAAAATATCATAAAATAACCTGTCAACAACCTTTCATTAATAAAGTAATTATCGATATATGTCAAATATCAAATTAGACGATAAATGTATAGAGTAATTTCAATACTAATTATAACACATTAATAGACAAGCAATCGAAATATATAGTTAAAATCTCTCACTATTATTCATAATTTTTCACTGATAAATAACAATTTGATTTACATAAAAAAAACTATCATATAAAACATTTATTGTTTTCTATTATATAATAAAACAAATGAAAAATGCATATAGAAATTTTTGTTATCTATTCTTAAAATAATTTTATAGTAAATATATAATTTTGTCTAAGCTTTTAATGTTGTTACTGATTGAAAACAAGCACGACAACATGATGCACAACAACTAACAATCATCAAGATATAAGTTATAATAATTATCCAAAAAGCGAATTGATATAAAGTTTGATGACAATAATTTGGTGATTGTACATTATCATAAGTAACTTTATCTTTTGCTCCAAATACCCAAACATTACCCTAGAAGGAAAAAGAAGAAGGTCCATCAAAGTTAATAACACAAAAAAGAAAAAGAGATATATTTACTTACCGCAATAAACCAAGCAAATAAAAAGAAACTCATAAGAAAAATAATAAAAAGTACAATACCAATAACACATCCATTAAAACATGATCCAGCAATTGAATCTTGTTTAATACAACATATAAATGCAACTACCTAGAATCTATTTTGTAATAAAAATCATAATGGAAAAAGTACGATCTTACAATTATTATTGTTAAACCAACACCTGCACAACCACATGCACCTGTAACAATCAAATATATTGGAATATAAAAATTTACTGGACATTGATTATAATATGCTATGCCAATGGCTAATTGAAGAATAGGAAGAACGAGAATAATACATAGAGCAATTAGAAAATAAGTTGAACCAAGTATTAAAGCTAAAAATGGCGGAAGAAAATTTATTTTTTTAGCACTATCACGTGTTTGACGAGGTAATTTTTCATTATGAATTTGTTCATCAAATACATTTGTAAATGGTGGACCACCGAAACTAAGTCGATGAGTAGATAATACGGGTAGTGGATGTTGTGCCATAACTATTTGTCTTGAAGGTCATGAATAAAAAGAAGAAGGAAGAAAAAAGAAAAAGTAAATGTAATTTCGATCACGACATAATGTATAGAAAAAGAATTGATAAGAAAAAAAAAGAAAGATCTTATTATTATATTTTCTTTCCTTTTTTTATTTATTATTTTTGTGATTCTTTTACGTTCTTTTTTTTATTTTAAAATCTACTAAAAAACATTACTTTAGTTTGCTTCTTTACAATAACACTTGACTATGTTCACTTATACTCTATTTAAAACGCAAGAAGACAAAAAAATAACTTTTTAAGTCAATTTTTTAATAAATATTAAATACGAAAAATTTCTAAAGGAATAAAAACGAATTTCTTTTGAGATATTTGATGACGATTCTTGAATTACTTACTGATTATCAAAGATATTCAAATATACGAAACAAAACAAAAAATGATAAATGAATAAATTTTTATTCAAATTTAAAGAGTTTGCTAGTCATACTACTGGTCATACAAAGAGTAGGCGAATACTATTTGAACATTCATTCAATGACATAAGATTACAATCATTAATCATCTCAAACCATCGTTTTTTTCTACATCTAGTCAATAATGATTCTTTTACTTTTTCAATTTATGTCATCTTTTCATTATTTGCTCGAACTCTTTTTTCTTATATATGCAGACAAATACTACCACGCAGTATCTATTTAAAATATGAAGAAGAAGAAAAAGGAAATAAAACAAATTAACACTTCTTTCGTTTTAATAGAATTTCTATAAAAAGACACTAGTTGAAATTGATGATTAAATAATGATGTTTTCTAGTCGTCTTCATCGTCAACCATTATCAGCTATGAATAATAGTTTTACATCATTTTCATCTGATAATTCATATATGCCGAATAGAAGACAATCATCACCTTTTCCTTTACGTCAGTTAACTGTACGAGATCTTCATGATATCAATGAAACAGATTTAAATAATCAATCAATATCTAAAATTCCAAGACCAATTCTTAGTATACCACGTCCATCAATACGTATGCCAACAGATGATTTATTATGGTGGACACCTGATGAAACATCTTCATATAGAGAAGAATTTCCAGCATCGAGAAGATATCATCCTGAACGACCATTCTATCAAATAACAGCACCATCAACAAATTTACCTTCACCACCAATTCAATATCAAATTGTACCTATTTCATATCAAAGATCTTTACCAAATCGTATTCTTCATCGAATAAAACATAAAAAATATTTTAAAGAAAAAACACCAGGTTTATGTACAACTTTATGTTCTGGTGGTCTTAGTACATGTGCAGCACTTGTCTATTTATGTATTATACTTGCTTTACCAGTTACAAAACTTGTTTTGGGTATACTTTATATTGGACAATGTCCTGTAAATAAAAATATTCCATTATTTATGATTGTTTCTGGTGCGTGTGGTTTAGGTATTATACTTTTTCTTCTTCTCTCATCAACTTGTACATTTTATCGATCATCGACAATAGCAAGAAAAATAACTCATAAATTTATAATATGTACAATTGCATTATCACGTGGTATGCAAGGTGCTCTAGCTATTTTTCTTTTTGTCTGGTTTTTTATTGGTAATGTTTGGGTATTTGGTGCTCGGTCACGTGTTCGAACAGATGCACCTAATGATATTAATAATTATTGTCAACCAGGTTTATATTGGTTTGCTTTTTATGTTCTTATTTTTACTTATGTTTTCGCTACTTTTATGTGTTTTATCAAATTTTGTGGTAATTTCTTTTGTTGCGGTGCATGTGATATGTGGAAAAGAGCTTTTTCATAAATCATTCGATATCAGATCTAGGTCAAAAATAAAGTAAAAAAGAAAGGAATATAAGCTCCGATTGATTGACTATTTTATGAGTATGTATATATACACCATACGAATAGAACAGATAAGACGACAACAACGATAAAAAGTTGGTTAATTGCTTTTTTTTCTCTTTCGTTCAATCTAGATATAACGAGAGAAATGCAGTTCACTTGTCGCAAAAATACGACGACAATAAGTATACATATACCAATTGAACAGGAGAAAGAGAGGAAAGATGAAACGAGGTCGACATACATTTTATTTTTTTATTCTATATGTGTACAGTAGATATGAGTAAAGAGACGATCAACGTTTAACGAAGCACTTGACTGATACAAAGCAACCTTCTTTTCTTCTCTTATTCATATATAGACACTGATGTTAGTCTTCTATTTCCAAATTACAAAACGAACGATAGTCTCTCTCTTCTTATTCATTATTCTACGTATATGTGCCATATAGACAGCCACAAAAGAGCAATTTGTTCTTTTATTTCTTCACCATCAATAACGAACAATAATAATACATAGTCTGTGCATACTATAAGCTTTTTTTCTCTCTCCCTTCGTATGATGGAATAGGATTACCCCGTGCATGATGATTTATTGCAGCATAGATGGCCAACGAGGTGAGTACACGATTATGGACAGAAGAATAAGAGAAAATATGCACGTCGAACATATCTAATATATATATATATATATATCATAGGGATATGAGTGTAGATGGAAGCGAGTGCAGGAACAAGACTGTTTTTTTTGATAATAGAATAGCAAAATAGGATACTACTACTCCCCCTCACCATACAAATGTCCTCTTTTTTTTTCTCTCTCTCCATCCTATTTCTTTCTTGGTGTATATCTTCTGTTCATAAGTTGCGCAGCAGGAAGGAAGAGCATTGCATATGCCAATTGCGAAATGATACTTGATATTTCTGCCATCGAGCAAGCTACTTGTAACAATATTCAACGTCTACTTGAGTCCATTCACACTTTGTTTTCCTTTCATCTCTTTCTTTCTTCTTTTTTTTTTGTATTTCTCTTCACTTTTTTTTCGACATACGTATATACTGCTTTCGTTGATTATATTACATAAGCAGACTATGTATGGTATATACATATGCTCTTCACTATATACAGATGGATCGATCTTATTATATATATATCCTCTCATTCTTTTTTTTTATAGGTAAAGGGTATATATGTATGTTATAATTCATAAAGAATACTATAGTCGCTCTAAGAAAGAGATTTCTTGATACATTTATGAAGGATTTTTCTCTCTTCTTCTTCTTCTTCTTCTTTTTTTTTATCCCGATAAACATTATTATAGTTTACCCTGCAAGATATGGTCATGATTTATTTGCACATACTTCTTGAAGAGATGTATGTCCTCTTCTTCTTCTTCTTTTTTTCTCTTTCGTTGTTGTCTCCATTTATCCTTCGAGATATTGATAAGAAAACGACGAACAGGTCAAAAGGATGGTCGAATGATCATTCATTCTATTGTTTGATAAATCAATAACCTAGCAATTTTTTCATTAATACATACATACATATATACATGCATCTGTACGCATAAACGCTTCTTATCTGTGATTTATATTCTTTTCTCTTCGCTTAATAAAAAAATCTCTATTTTCATTCATCTACAATCCTTTTCAAGAAAAAAAATATTCAATGTCGTTGTTGTCGTCGTCGTCGTCTCCTGATTATACAATATCGGTAGGATAATTACATCATATATGTATATAAGTAAAGAGCAGAAGCAGGTCAGTTATATTGTTTCATACGCATACAATATTCAGAGAGAGAGAGAAAGAGACGTGAGTCGAGTAATCATGCATATTGTTTGAATTCTCTTATATTCTTTTTTTCTTTTGCATTTACTTGACATGTCAGTACACTAGTACAGTTAGCAATGCAAGTTATATATCGCTATCAGCATACATCGTCTAGACATTACTCTCGTTTACTGCATATATGTCTGAATTATCAAACAGGTACCAAGTTTTGTATATGCTCATTTTTTAGATTGATTGATGATCTATTTATCGATTAATGGAACAGTATTTGAATATAGTATGGAAAAATTATACAGCATCACTTTCACACAATTTTGATGATGAAAATGTTTCAGGCGAACAAGATGATGGTGAGTATATATATTTTTTTATTCTATTTTAAAATAATTTTTTTTTATTTAGCTTCAGATGCATTTGCTGGTAGTGATCTCCATTATAAAATTCCATTTTGGATCGGTGTTATTGTAATTAGTCTTCTCTTTCTATCAGCTCTTATTGCATCAATACGTTATTGTTTTTATACACTCTGTTCATCACATAGTGGTAAGCCCTATACATTTCACACATTTTTCATTGTCATAGAGTTATGTCATATGAATGAATAAGAAATAAAGTGAATCTTAATACAAACATCTCATCCTATACTCAACGAAAAAAAAAGAGGAAAAGAGAATGACTTTTATATTGCCTTGACTCTTTCGATGTCCTTTTTTTTGTTGTTTCTTTCGTTCAGCAAACTTAATGCAGCCTTTCATTTTTCTCATATATACACGTACAAAGTGTTTTTATGTGTACATGTGCAATATATATACACACACACACATATATATAAATATATACATTGGCATGTTTTAATAAAATTCAAAATTGAAATTAGACCGACAATGATGATATGTGACTATTGAAATAGTATTCATGCATATATGACCGAGAATACAAACGATTGAATGAATATATACAATGGCATTGAATTACATTTATGAGTAGTTGTTGTGACGAGGCTAAGTGTAAGAGAATAGAATAGAAAAAAAAAAAGGAACAAAGCTGTCTGTACAATTGTTAGTAGTGACAATTAATTAGAGTGGACAATCGCATGATCAGTCTATGATGAAGTGAATAAAAGAACAAGATGAAATAAAATTATCGTTTTCACTTTTGAAAATCTTTAAGTATTTTTCTTTTTAATAGAAACAGAAAAAGTGGCATTAGTGTCACCAAGATCACCTTGTCTTACAAGTACTGCTAATACAATACAACGTCAACGACATCAACTATCGAATACTCTTTCTCGTCATCCATTCGATGAAAATGAAAAACCGATACCAATAACATTTCATGAAGAATTAAAAGATCATCGTTCAAATACATCAATAGTACCTATTGTTCGTCAACATGCTCGACCAAATTTTCCACCATCACATACATTAACTCAACATCATCGTGCAGATATTGATCTAGATAATATTGATAATCATCATTTTTCTTCAACTCAAACACCACGATCTCGTGCTCCTGTTGATTTTCGAAAAAAAGTTCATGGTATTTATGTTTTACCTGTTTCACCTGCTCTTTCATCGTCATCATCAACAACCAATACTGATGAAATCATAAAAAATAGTTCAAATACAATGCCTATTCGATCTCTAAGACATATATCATCATCAATTAATGTTCATAATGATTCCATATGTCGTGGAATCAAAAATGATTGTTTTGCTGATTCACCACAACCAAAAGATCGTACATTACCTCGATCTCATGCTGGTACATTACGACGTACTCAACCACCACCATCTCAACCTCCACCACTACCACCACCAACAAATGTACAACTTCATTTTAATGATATTCGATCAACAAATGCGTCACATAATGACATTTCATCATTTCGACATCAATCAGTTACTATGGATCTCGATCCTGATACTATTGCACTTCGTTTTAATAATAATCAAAAAATATATGTTACAGCCGAAGACAACCAATTGAAAAAACCTCCACCACCACCTGTACCATGTCGATCACAAAAACCAATAGCTTTACCAATTGGTTTTGAAGGTTTAACAACAACACAACAAAATGATATAATTGGTTTTCGAGTGCCGATAGAATCATCTCCACAAGATGATTGTTCAGAACATACATGGCCAAAACCACCTGAATCAATGACAACATCAGAAATTGGTGGATCACCACAACCTCTTCCACCATCAATACCATATGATCGTCTACATCATGATCATTTAATACCAACTGTACTTATGCGTCAAAATAGTACAATTAATTTTTTTCAACATCATCGATTTGGTGAACATACTATGTTGACAGAATCTGAAACATGATAATTATGTTAGCATTTTTCTATATTGTTCTGTTTTTCTTATTTAAAGGCGAATGGCTGTTGGGTCATAACAGTACTGTATAGTTTCTATCTTGATTCTTTGTATTTTCTATTGTACTATAATAGAAGAAACTTCTGTCAAGCTTTTTTTTTTGTTCATTTTTTTTGTTGTTTGATTTTTTTTAGTTTATTTGAATGAATTATGACAATAAAGAGACACGACATAATAGATAGAATTTTCGAATAAAATTCATCAACACGAAATATCACGTATGTAAATTATTAAAATCTTCTCAGCTTAAATATATGATAGACATTTCAATAATTCCTCAATAAATAAAATATTTTTTGAGATTATTTAGTACAACAAGAAATTATGCCACTACCAAATTTTGAGATCAATGATTTTTACTATTAGATTTAAAATAATCTAATACAATATGACAATGGAAGATAAAATTCAATTCTACTTTGAACTAACGGATTACAAATCGAAATAAAACATAAAGATATGAAATCCAGTATTGATTTATTGGTTTACATTGAGCTTAAGTTTTTGACTTTCAATTGAGTTGATTCTCAAATAGAGTATATATCAAAAATATCTCATATATTCTATGCAGAAAAAACACAATAGGAAACTTTTTGTGTCTTGTATTATGTAATGTAAACAAAAATATTATAAAACTTTAAGTCAGAGAACTATTACGATAAAAGAATAACACCAGAGTACATTTGAATTATGAAAGAAAATGCTGAATTAACAAAACAATATCCATCATTACAGAGTGAATTAATCCGAAATATTATACTTGTAAAGTAGCAGATCAATTTTATTAGACCATAATTCATATTAAAAATTTTATTTTGATTATATTAGTAATGAAGACGTAAATACAAGATATTCTATATATGAATCAAAAAGGTTGCATTTTTCTATAATGTAAAAAAAATATTTATCATTTTGTGAGATACCATCATCTAAAAAATGGTTTAAAATTGTTTTATGATAATTGTGAGAAATGTTTAGTTGTTAATTAATCGAATTATTTGTTTTATAATTTAAAATTTTTAAAAGAGTAGAAGATTTAAATTTATTCATATTATTAAATGATAAACGAATCAGTCAGTGTGCCAAATTCTTTAGTAAACTCATTTGTTTTTTTTCTATTGATTATCCTTCATATGTTATATGATACTATAAAATGAGCTATGATCAATCCATAAATATAATTAATATTTCATAACAGAAATGTTTAAAGTTTCAAAATTTATATTTATTCTTTGTTATATGTTATTTCATAGTTAGACCTTGAATTTATAATTTTTAAAATAATTTACAGAATAGAATTGTCAACATGTACTCATTATGAAGTTTCGAAATTATTGGTAAGATCTTTTATTATAATAGCAAATGTTAAAAAATTAATTCAGTTTTAATATTAATATTCTTAGCATAATAGTTAACTGAAATCGTTCGTATAAATGTATTTATATATGAGAAACAAAATTTGAATCAACATATAGTCATTCATTCATTTGCTTTTTATTTCTTTTCTTTGTTTTAAATTCTCATTGACAATCAGTCAGTCACATGTGACTGATCATTGTTTTATCTTGTTTGCTTCAATTGTGATCAACAATAATTATTAGAACGACGATTTAATGTTAAACAAAATAAAAAAACATTGAACAATACATTAAGAAGGCATGCCGAATGCTCAGCTTAAGAGAGAAAAGAGCAATAATCATCTTTGTTTCAAATGTGAATCAATCTTTCATCCTTGTCGTTCAACAACTACCGATCAAACTTGATCACTAACATACAATATTGTCTGTCTAGCTGCTCAGTCATAGAGAGTCATTGATACATTGAGTGAGTGAATGAGCAATTCAACCGAGCGTTGCTGATCTGATTTTAGTGGTGACTGTCAAATGTTCGTCAATTGAAGTGGAGAATAGGATATACGAACTTCTATTCAATGAGACGATTATCACAAACACAAGAAGAAAACAGAAAAGAAGAGAAAAGAAAAAGATGAGAAAAAAAAACGAGAAATGTTTGTTAAATTTTTGATTTCAATATCTACAAGTCATAAGAAACCTATTGTCAAAAACGATCCCAAAATGGATTTGCTACAGATGACGTTGATGTTGAAGATAGATGAGACGATGGCAATGACATTGGTGTATGAAGAAAATTTGCTAAATAAATAAATATATACATACATAGATTTTCTTTGATTATTTTCAATACATACATGATTGACACATAACATTCGATGCAAAACTACTATAATCTGTATTATGATGTGAATGATAAGATGGTGGTCGAGGATATGTTGATGATGGAAATGATACATCTTCATAGCAATTAACTAATAAACAAGAATAAAAATTATTGAATATTTTGTTTTTTCTATTATAATAAATCTACCTGTTGGTAGAGGATAACTGTATCCTGATGATGTACATGAATAATTATGAGATTGTGCTGTTGAATATGGTGAAAAACTTTTATTTGTCATTGCTTGTCGATTATCAGTTGCTCCATTAGGGAAATAACATCCAATGGGTGGTGGAATATCAGATTCAATAATATAACCTGGTAGAGGAGCTGAAATAGATGATGGTGATGTCGTTGGATGATTCAATGAAGAAATTGTTGATGATGATTGTGGTGGTGGTGGTGGTGGAGGTGAAGAAACTGTTGGTAAAATTGATGCACTACTTCCAGATGTTCCACCTGTTGATGATTCGCAAGCAGTATGTGTACGTCTTTGATTACGTGCTTTTTCTTCACGTCGCCATTTAGCTCGTCGATTAGAAAACCAAACCTATTTTATATTGTAATCAGATAAAATATAATTAATTAATAAATAGAATAAACATTTGTACCTGAATACGATTCTCTTGTAAACTAATATGTTTAGCTAAACGTTCACGTACATAAACATCTGGATAATGAGTATGTTCGAATTCTAATGAGAAGAAAAAAAAGAAAGACTTTTTCAAAAACAATTTCTTATTTAAAGAAAAAAGAGAGTACCTTTTTCAAGTGCAGCTATTTGTTCTTGAGTAAAAGCTGTTCGATTTCGTTGTGTTTTTTGTCGTGATGATAATTTAGAATCAGGATCACTATTCGTACTTTGTTCATCATCTTCATCATTATTAACACTTTCTTCATCATCATTCGATGGTTCATATTTAACTCCCATAGAATTATGTCCATCTAGATGATTTAATTCTCTTTTGTTAATAAAAATTTTTTCTTTAAAGATAAAATTATTTTACTTTTCATATTTAAATTTTGTGTTGTAGTTGTTGCTGTTGCCGCTGTTAGCGATTGTTGATGAGGATGATGGTGGTGATGATGATGCCATGTATGAGATGGATTTGTTGGTGGATTTGTACTTCCTAATACTGTCCAAATAGGTGGTGGATTAAGTAGATTACATGATGAACCATCATAATGAAATTCTCCTGTTTGATATTGATGATAATCAGTCGTTGATTTTAACGATGATGATGATGATGATGAGGATAAATTGCGTAGTACTCGATTGATAGAAGACACCTGAAGGACGATATAAAAAAAGAATAGAATAATAAAGATAAGGAAAAACAAAAAAATTACACTTGGTAAATTATCTTGTGTACAAACACCATCATTCAGGAGACGCTCACGAATTTCCCAAGCAAATATCGATGGATTTTCTGCTTTGATTTCTGCAATTTTTGCTACGACATCTAAATTAAATATTTTTTATTTAGTAATGAAAAGTTTAAAAAAAAACAAGAATTAACCTGGTGTAGCAACACGTGGTTTCGAACCACCAATAGCTCTCGGTTTAACCGAGCCGGTTTCGTAGAATCGACCCAGGATTTTAGATACACAACCGTTTGATACTGGAAAATATCATTAAAATATATACATATTGAATTATTATGATTTCTTTTATTCTTTTACCTTGTAATTTTCGTGAAATCTCACACGGTCTTGCGCCCTGTCGAGCCAGTTCAACGATTCGATGTCGAATACTTTCTGGTAATGGTCGTCCGTTTACAAATACTCCACCTAATTGATTAACACCGCTATGACCTACATAAAAATTTTATAATCATTTTAATGCTTAAAGAATAAAAAATACCTTCTAGAATAATTCGATACATCAAATGAGGCATTTCATTTAATTCAATGATGTATAAAGATGAGAAAACTCTTCTCTTTTTATATACAAAATGTCAAATAGACAAAAAAAAACTTTTTTCTCTTCTTTTTCTTCTTTTTTTTTGTGTTATTATCTCATGTAAATACGGTCAAATGGGACATTGCAAATCTGCTTTTGTGTTCAAATAGTAATTAAATCGAATCATTGATAGTACTATTATTATTATTCTTTGACTGACACCCTGATGATAAGCTCATAGATAGGCAAAGACAAACTATTTTCTAAAGAGAAAGTTAATAGAGTTGTCAGCTGGAATAGGCGATGCTAGATTTCAGAAAGTCATCCTCTTATCAATTCTAATTTATTTGCACAAAGACAAATAGAAAATCTTACTTACTTTAATGCAAAGATATATATTCAATATACACAAAAAAGAAAGAAATCTACAAGTAGAAAAAAAAAGAAAAACTATATATATATATATAAATGATGAATAGAATTGTTTCGTCGTTTTTTTTTCATTCAATGTGAAATGAATAATCAAGCATAGAGAAATAGAGCAAATAAATACAACTCAGCGATGGATTATTCACTAAAAGAACCACTTTACTACAATACATATACATACATCATCAGCAACTAACTATCAATAGTGTTGCCCACTTGAAATGGTCTACTTAAAGATCAAGTTAGTATAATTATTTCGATGCCAACGGGAGAAAATAATCATTTGAAATGATGTTCATTCGAAGTTTTCAATGAAAATCAGAAAAAAAAGAAACTAACGAATCTATATGTATACACCTGTTAGATTGTAATACTATTTTTTTTCTTCTTCATCGTCTTCTTTTGCCGTTTTTTTTCTTCTCCTCTTCTTCTTCTTCTTCTTCTTCTTCCTCTCTTTCCTCTCTCTCTCTATCGTTTCGTTCTTATTTGATGATACGAATGTTAGTTCGATTGGTGACAACAAATCATATCATTTCTTAATGAACGCGTGTATTCGATCAAACAAAAAAGCAGAAGAAAAAAAAGAATTCTCTTTCTCTTCTAATAAGAACAAAAAGAAAATATTGAGAGTTGAAAAATAAAAATAATTTCGAGATAATAATTGACAGATACTTGTTAGTATTTTCAAACTATCTAAATCAATGTCTAATCGAATGAAATATGAACATTTCTGTCAAGTCACGAAGTATCATCTATGTTGTTTTTATAAATACAAATTATCATCTATTTATAAAATTCATACATGCAAAGAATGATTATCATCTGATTAGACAAACGAAGTCACCGATTTTATAGAGTTCATCTCATTGAAAGATATTTATCTTATATTTTGTTATTATAATTCAAGGTTTATTAAACAAAATCTTTATTAGAATGGAAAGTAATTAGAAATATTACTTACTAAACTATATATTTCATAATTTGTTTTTATCACAATGTTTGGATCTTAACTTCTATAACGTTATTTTTTCTATTGTTGTTTATTTATCAATATTATTGATTGGTTATTTATATTGATTGGTTGATAAAAATTTTTATTTCTCCAATAATAGATTGATTGATATAGGGATATAACGACACAAAAAAGAAACCGAAATCGTTATGTACGAACAGATGAGAAAATGATAATATCTTTTACCTTTTTTTTTTTCTCTATTTCTTTAGCCCTATTGAAATGGATATGAAAGAACGACAATGTTCGCATTACGTTCGGGCGTCTGATTTTGAATATACACATATATTCGTTTGTATCCTCCAACTGTCCATCATGCGGAAGATGCGCGTGCACGCACCTTTTCATAAGATATCTATATAGATAATGCGTCAAGAATAAAAATGAGTATACATTGAGGAATGTCTCATCATCAAATGGAACGTGCACCACTGCACATTGATTAGCCCTTAAGCAGTATATATTTTGATATATATTTCATCATTTGAAAAGTAAAACAAAATAAAAAGAATTCTAATTTAGATGATACTGTAAGCTTGATTAAACATGCTTCATATGCTTTTAGCGGTTTATTTTATCAAAATTTTGATGATTTTCTATGATAGGAAAATTCTTACATCTGTTTTATATAATAAAAAAA